CACCTCCGTCAGCAAGATGGACAGGAAGGACAGAGCAGCCCCCGAGGAGGAGGACGAGGAGGAGAGAGAGAGGTCTCCAATGGTCAACGGACTCACAGGTGAGATGTCCATGCTGTCCTGCGACAACATGTTCCCTGCTCCTTGCAACATGTTCCCATCCTCTCCCATAAACTGCCTCAAACTGATGATCAACAACCTTGATATTGTATAAAACACAACTAATCACAATTCAACCAATGGCGACACCACAGGGAGCCATGTTTGCTTGTACATTCAGTCTCTTTCACTTTGTCGGAGATTGATTTGTTCTGGCTCAACAATAGCTGACCACGCTGCCCAAAATGAGAGGAAGAGGGATGGGAAAGGGCTTATTTCTCCTTCACACTCATTCCCTCCACCCTTCACACTCATTCCCTCCACCCTTCACACTCATTACCTCTTTCCCCAGAATAGGACACCCCAGGATTATCTGTTCCTTACAGAAGGTCACTTCTAAACGCTACAAAGTGAAGTAGTGGTATGCCTTTCCATCTAGCTAGATCAATAATGTAGAAATCCCTGGTTAAAGGGATACAGTTTGTCCTTGTTGTGTTTCCCTCAAAGATAGTATCCTCTCATTTCTTTTGTTTTTTTATTTATTTCACCTTTATTTAACCAGGTAAGCCAGTTGAGAACAAGTTCTCATTTACAACTGCGACCTGGCCAAGATAAATCAAAGCAGTGCGATTAAAAAAAAAAAACATCACAGAGTTACATATGGAATAAACAAAACGTACAGTCAATAACACAATAGAAAAGCTATATACAGTGTGTGCAAATGTAGTAAGTTATGGAGGTAAGGCAATAAATAGGCCATAGTGCAAAATAATTACAATTTAGTATTAACACTGGCGTGATAGATGTGCAGAAGATGATGTGCAAATAGAGATACTTGGGTGCAAATGAGCAAAATAAATAACAATATGGGGATGAGGTAGTTGGGTGGGCTAATTACAGATGGGCTGTGTACATGTGCAGTGATCGGTAAGCTGCTCTGACAACTGATGCTTAAAGTTAGTGAGGGAGATAAGAGTCTCCAGCTTCAGAGATTTTTGCAGTTCGTTCCAGTCATTTGCAGCAGAGAACTGGAAGGAATGGCGGCCAAAGGAGGTGTTGGCTTTGGGGATGACCAGTGAGAGATACCTGCTGGAACGCATACTACGGGTGGGTGTTGCTATGGTGACCAATGATCGAAGATAAGGCAGGGATTTGCCTAGAAGTGATTTATGGATGACCTGGAGCCAGTGGGTTTGGCGACGAATATGTAGTGAGGGCCAGCCAACGAGAGCGTACAGGTCACAATGGTGGGTAGTATATGGAGCTTTGGTGACAAAACGGATGGCACTGTGATAGACTACATCCAATTTGCTGAGTAGAGTGTTGGAAGCTATTTTGTAAATGACATCGCCGAAGTCAAGGATCGGAAGGATAGTCAGTTTTACGAGGGCATGTTCTGAACTGTAAACAAATTCAGAAACAAAGTGCCAACATTGATCAAACTAGTAGTGATGGGGGGAGAGGACCTGTTCCATCTCCATTCCTGGAGCAGCATCTGGCCGTGTCCCATTTGCCATCCAGGCTCCCCCGGTAGTGTCTCTCCTCTCCTCTGGGCTTGGGGTCCTTCCAGCTGGCTCCTGCTCCCACAGCACAGCTATCCCCTGTTTGGTTTGGAAAGCCCTGCCTAGCTTCTGACCATAGCCCTGTGTCCTCTCTCTGGCTCACCCTGGCCCCGTCCGAAGGGCACTCCCCCACTTCAAGTCTGAATGGTGCCAATGACAGAGGGAGAGGACAATGTAGCCCTCTCATCCATTCGACGGTCAGTCTGTCTGGTGCCATGGACCTTAGGGTCCTGCCTGCAGCTGGGCACCTGGGCCGTCCTCGCTCTGCCTGATTAAAATGTCTCAGTTGTGATCAGGCATATCAGAGGGGCCTTGGGCAGGCCCTGAGGGCTGGGTGGCTAAACACAGTTCTGAATACAGTTAGTCGCTGAGGACTTTTTGTGAATGCATAATAATAATAATAAAATATATGCCATTAAACTGACACTTTTTCCAAAGTGACTTAGTCATGCATGCGTACGTTTTTGGTATGGGTGGCCCCAGAAGGAATCGAACCCACGACCTTCGTGTTGCAAGTGCCATGGGAAAAGCGACTGAAGCACAAGTCTAAGAACAGTTAGACAGGTCAGGGACTCTACAGAAAGAAAGCCACATGAGTGTGGCGTGCAGGCCTGAGCTGTTCCATTGCACACAATCTCTACGGCCTTGGGCACACACAACAATGGGTCAATGTGTGGGATGAAGAGAACACTCAATGTCTTTCCTCCGTGGTTTATTTTGTTAATGAAGAGACACCCTCAGCTCTACCTTTACTTATGTAGTGCATAATACCCAAGTCAACTATCTATCCCTGGTTCTTCAGCCTCCTGATTGAATGGATGCTTTTCATAATGGCTTTGTTTGGATGATGTAGATTCAGGCATTCAGTCATTTAGCAAAAGGGTGCAAGACATATTGCACAATCATCTTGAAGCCAGGCTTGTAGATAGAGTAGTCAAGGCTGTTTTGATAAAGGCTTGACTGTTCAATGACTGACGTGATGTTCATATGACATTGAGAATACATACTCATCACTGCATGGTCTGCCCGCGCACACACCAGAAAGGTTCATATTACTCACCTCTGTGTAGGAGGGTGATAGATCTACAGTGAGGGGAAAAAAGTATTTGATCCCCTGCTGAATTTGAATGTTTGCCCACTGACAAAGACGTGATCAGTCTATAATTTTAATGGTAGGTTTATTTGAACAGTGAGAGACAGAATAACAACAAAATAATCCAGAAAAACACATTTTTTAAATTGATTTGCATTTTAATGAGGGAAATAAGTATTTGACCCCTCTGCAAAACATGACTTAGTAATTGGTGGCAAAACCCTTGTTGGCAATCACAGAGGTCAGACGTTTCTTGTAGTTGGCCACCAGGTTTGCACACATCTCAGAAGGGATTTTGTCCCACTCCTCTTTGCAGATCTTCTCCAAGTCATTAAGGTTTTGAGGCTGACGTCTGGCAACTCGAACCTTCAGCTCCCTCCACAGATTTTCTATGGGATTAAGGTCTGGAGACTGGCTAGGCCACTCCAGGACCTTAATGTTCCTCTTCTTGAGCCACTCCTTTGTTGCCTTGGCCGTGTGTTTTGGGTCATTGTCATGCTGTAATACCCATCCACGACCCATTTTCAATGCCCTGGCTGAGGGAAGGAGGTTCTCACCCAAGATTTGACGGTACATGGCCCCGTCCATCGTCCCTTTGATGCGGTGATGTTGTCCTGTCCCCTTAGCAGAAAAACACCCCCAAAGCATAATGTTTCCACCTCCATGTTTGACGGTGGGGATGGTGTTCTTGGGGTCATAGGCAGCATTCCTCCTCCTCCAAACACGGCGAGTTGAGTTGATGCCAAAGAGCTCGATTTTGGTCTCATCTGACCACAACACTTTTACCCAGTTCTCCTCTGAATCATTCAGATGTTCATTGGCAAACTTCAGACAGGCCTGTATATGTGCTTTCTTGAGCAGGGGGACCTTGCGGGCACTGCAGGATTTCAGTCCTTCACGGCGTAGTGTGTTACCAATTGTTTTCTTGGTGACTATGGTCCCAGTTGCCTTGAGATCATTGACAAGATCCTCCTGTGTAGTTCTGGGCTGATTCCTCACCGTTCTCATGATCATTGTAACTCCACGAGGTGAGATCTTGCATGAAGCCCCAGGCCGAGGGAGATTGACAGTTATTTTGTGTTTCTTCCATTTGCGAATAATCGCACCAACTGTTGTCACCTTCTCACCAAGCTGCTTGGCGATGGTCTTGTAGCCCATTCCAGCCTTGTGTAGGTCTACAATCTTGTCCCTGACATCCTTGGAGAGCTCTTTGGTCTTGGCCATGGTGGAGAGTTTGGAATCTGATTGATTGATTGCTTCTGTGTACAGGTGTCTTTTATACAGGTAACAAGCTGAGATTAGGAGCACTCCCTTTAAGAGTGTGCTCCTAATCTCAGCTCGTTACCTGTATAAAAGACACCTGGGAGCCAGAAATCTTTCTGATTGAGAGGGGGTCAAATACTTATTTCCCTCATTAAAATGCAAATCAATTTATAAAATTTTTGACATGCGTTTTTCTGGATTTTTTTGTTGTTATTCTGTCTCTCACTGTTCATATAAACCTACCATTAAAATTATAGATTGATCAATTCTTTGTCAGTGGGCAAACGTACAAAATAAGCAGGGGATCAAATACTTTTTCCCTCACTGTATGTGCATTTTTCTGTTGACATTACAAAGGATGCCTCCAACATGAAGAGGTCCTTCTCTTTATATGTAAATATGTCAAGCACTCTACTACTGACAGTAGCTCCTTGCATTCATCTTTATGTGTGTTGTTTTCTGCCTCCATTCAGATCAGGAAAACAGGTCTCACCGTTGAATACAGTAATGAGTTAGGTCAGAGGCATGCAAATACAAACCTGCAGATAAGAGCACACGCACACACTGAAACACACACACACAGGGCTGGGCTGTGTGATGCTAATAGGGTCTCTGAGCTAGGTAGGGCTGAAGCGTAGTGTTGGTCAGCTCTTCCCCTTGCTGCCCGCTAGCCGCTTGCTCTCTACAACATCACTGTGGCACACTTGCTGCGCTTCCGTCTCGCTCGCCCTGTCGCTCTCGCTCTCTCTGGCCCCCTTCTCTCTGCCTCTCTCTCTTTGTATCTCTCTCTCTCTCTACCCTCTCTGCCTCTCTCTCTCTCTCTCTCTACCCTCTTTCTCTCTCTCTGTGTCCCCCTCCCTTTCTCTACCCCCCTCTCTCTCCCTGCCCTCTCTCTCCCTCCCCTCTCCTGTGCTGTGTGTAACAGTCTAGAGCCCACAGTCTGTCTGTCCAGGGCAGCAGCACGGCAGTAGTAGAAGCAGGGAGAAATGCAGGGAGCTCACAGGGCTCTCCATGCTGCCTCCATACGCTCACCACCCTTCTCTCTCCACTTTTCCCTCCCCCTGTCCCTCTCACCCTCCGTGGCCACCCCCACAGAGCACAAGGACAAGGCTGGACAGGAGTGGAGGAAGACTGTACCCAGCTATAACCAGTCCAGTAGTGGAGCCATGGACTTCAGGACTTGGAACACCTTACCGCACGACGAGAGCCAGGAGCCCCTGCCTAAGACCTGGGAGATGGCCTACACCGAGACGGGCATGGTCTACTTCATAGAGTAAGTACTGGTCTTCTGGTTCTCTACTCTACTCCAGTACAGTGCCAGGGTGGTGTTGGTGATGCTGGAAGTAGAGGTCGTTTCGAAAGAGAGCATGGTGATTTGTTTGTACAGAGAATAGTTTCTGTGTTACTTGTAGATCCAGTGTCCTACTTCTTTCTCTGCGGCTCAGACAGTACAGCATTTGGAAAAGTAAACAATAGTATTATTGTTATTGTAATTATGGTATAGGATTTGTGAAATTATTCATTATATTAACCTATCTGGTGTCTAGAATACAGGTGTGTTGTTTTCCTGTATTTGATGTGGTGGTGCTGGGCTTGGGCTTAAAGCTTTGGCCCTCTCCCCCTCCCTCCGTTGTTTACCAGTCTGTTCTGTTTGTGTGGCTCACACAGCATACAGAAGTCAGAGCCAGGTGCTGTACCCTGCCCTAAAATCAATAGCTTATTCTCTCTGAGCAGGAGGAAACAATTGGACAAATGGAACGCTCCCAGAGGCCTGCTCTCTCTGCTCTCTGCTTTCTGCAAGACGTCTGCATCTTCTCTCTGTTCTACCTCTCTCTCTTTTCTCCTCTCCCTTCTTCCATCCCTCCTTCCATTCCTGCCTCAGAGGGCCTGTCTGCCTCTGCTCTGTCTGACTACCTCTCTCTCCCTCATCTCTCCTTCCATCCCTTCTCTCTCCTTCCTCCATCCATCTCTCTCTCCCTCAGAGGGCCTGTCTGCCTCTGCTCTATCTGACTACCTCTCTCTCCCTCATCTCTCCTTCCATCCCTTCTCTCTCCTTCCTCCATCCCTCTCTCTCTCCCTCATCTCTCCTTCCATCCCTTCTCTCTCCTTCCTTCTTTCCTCCATCCCTATCTCGTCCCCCCTTCCCTCATCTCTCCTTTCCATCCCTTCCTCTCCTCCTTCCCTCCTCCATCCTCTCTCTCTTCCCTCATCTCTCCTTCGCAATCCCTTCTCTCTCCTTCCTCCCATCCCTCTTCTCTCACGTATCCTCCCTCGCATCCCCTCTGCACGACCTTCACTCCATCCCTCTCTCTCTCCTCATCTCGCCTTCCGATCCCTTCTCTCTCCTCCTCCTCCATCCCCATCCTCTCCATCCCTCTCCCCTTCCATCCCTTCTCTCTCCTCTCCTCGCATCCCTCTCTCTCTCCCTCCTCCATCCCTCTCTCTCTCCTCCTCCATCCTCTCTCTCTCCCTCATCTCTCCTTCCATCCCTCTCTCTCTCCTCCTCCATCCCTCTCTCTCTCCCTCATCTCTCCTTCCATCCCTTCTCTCTCCTTCCTCCATCCCTCTCTCTCCCTCAGATGACCTGTCTTCCTCTGTTCTGTGCTGACTACCTCTCCGTCCATACCTCCCTCCATTCTTCCCTCAAAGGTTCCTTTTGTTCCAATTTCAAAGGCTCCCTTAAAGAGTCACTTGATTCCAAAATAATGACATAGGTTTGTGATTTTGAAGGGGCCTTTAGTTTGATTGGCTTGTTTGGGGTTTGGCAGAATGGTTAGGGAGCACAAGGGGACAGTGGTTTCCAAACACTGGCTGGTGAATATCTATACTTTACCTTGTTGTTGTGGTGCTTTTTGTTCAGCGTGTAAAGTTGTGCCTCTCTGTCTCCACAGTCACAACACCAAGACCACTACCTGGCTGGACCCCAGGCTGGCCAAGAAGGCCAAGCCCCCAGAGAAGTGTGAGGATGGAGGTGAGAATCACACACACATGTTCTTCTATCCTTTTGATGACCTAAAATATATTTCCTTTAAAAATGCTATTTTCCCTAACCCCTAAACTTAACCTTAACCCCTAAACCTAACCCTAAATCTAACTCCTAACCCTAATTATAACCATCATTGTAACCCTAAACCTAACCTCTAAGTTTAAAATAGCCTTTGTCCTCATGGGGACGTTGGAAATGTCAGCACGAGGGAGAATTTTCCTTGTTTTACTGTTCTTGTGGGGAACATTTCAGGTCCCCACGAGGACAGAAGAACAACACCACACACACACTCGTTCTCACATACAGACGGTGTAGGGTTCTTGCAGCAAGGTTTCACTCACATGCACTCATACACCCTCCCTACACACACACACTACTGTCCATAGTCTGAATGCACCCCATTAGACAGAACTATGAGTGGGAATCATGTATGCCACTGAAGGCTGTGACATGTAGACAGACAGACAGTACTGTAAACAGCTAAACATGGCCCAGCGGGCCCCAGCGATGTGGTGACACTACATTACCCAGCCTGCCCCCTGTCCCCTAATGGCTTGTGGGAGACCTGCAGAGAGCTCATCATCACTGTATCTCCAAAAAGGCAATTCCACAGTCCCCTCTTGCGTGAAGCACTCTTTTCCCCTGCATGTGTTCGTCACAGGACAGCACACACTCCAGATTCCACTCACACACCGCTGGGAGAAGACAAGCCATTATTTTACAGGATTGCCATAACAGCTACACATTTCCTTACTTCCTATCTCGCTGTCTCGCTCTCTCTCTCCCTCCCAAACACCCGGTGACAAATAAGGCAGCCCTCTCAGTAGTTGGTGTGTATAAACCCTGGATCCCTAGTTCCTTGCAGTGAGTTGTCATTCAGACCTGTGTGGTTCATTGTGTGGGTAGACTGTGTATCAATTGTTCCAGAGCAGCACATTGATTTGCATCTTCCGCTTCTGTCTCTTGCCTGCAGAGCTTCCGTATGGCTGGGAGAAGATTGAGGATCCACAGTATGGAACCTACTACGTTGAGTGAGTATACAGTACCAGTCAAAAGTTTGGACACACCTTCAAGGGTTTTTCTTTATTTTTACTATTTTCTATTTTTGTAGAATAACTATGAAATAATACATATGGAATCATGTAGTAAACCCAAAAAGTGTTAAACAAATAAAAATATATTTTAGATTTTAGATTCTTCAAATAGCCACCCTTTGCCTTGATGACTGCTTTGCACACTCTTGGCATTCTCTCAACCAGCTTCACCTGGAATGCTTTTCCAACAGTCTTGAAGGAGTTCCCACATCTGCTGAGCACTTGTTGGCTGCTTTTCCTTCACTCTGCGGTCCAACTCATCCCAAACCATCTCAATTGGGTTGAGATCAGGTGATTGTGGAGGACAGGTTATCTGATGCAGCACTCCATCACTCTACTTCTTGGTCAAATAGCCCTTACACAGCCTGACGGTGTGTGTTGGGTCATTGTCCTGTTGAAAAACAAATGATAGTCCCACTAAGCGCAAACCAGATGGGATGGCGTATCGCTGCAGAATGCTGTGGTAGAATGCCTTGAATTCTAAATAAATCATTGATAGTGTCACCAGCAAAGCACCATCACACCTCCTACTCCATGCTTCACGGTGGGAATCACACATGCAGAGATCATCCGTTCACCTACTCGGCGTCTCACAAAGACACGGCGGTTAGAACCAAAAATCTCAAATTTGGACTCATCAGACCAAAGGACAGATTTCCACCAGTCTGATGTCCATTGCTCGTGTTTCTTGGCCCAAGCAAGTCTCTTCTTCTTATTGGCTTATTCTTATTCTTATTGGCTTCTTATTTTGTGGCACCTGACCACACAACTGAACAGTAGTCCAGGTGCGACAAAACTAGGGCCTGTAGGACCTGCCTTGTTGGTAGTGCTGTTAAGAAGGTAGGGCAGAGCTTTATTATGGACAGACTTCTCCCCATCTTAGCTACTGTTGTATCAGTATGTTTTAACCATGACAGTTTACAATCCAGGGTTACTCCAAGCAGTTTAGTCACCTCAACTTGCTCAATTTCCACATTATTTATTACAAGATGTAGTTGAGGTTTAGGGCTTTGTGAATGATTTCTCCCAAATACAATGCTTTAAGTTTTAGAAATATTTAGGACTAACTTATTCCTTGCGACCCACTCTGAAACTAACGTTTTTTCCAGCAGCAGACTATGATCAATAATGTCAAAGGCTGCACTGAAGTCTAACAAAACAGCCCCCACAATCTTTTTATCATCAATTTCTCTCAGCCAATCAGTCATTTGTGTAAGTGCTGTGCTTGTTGAATGTCCTTCTCTAGAAGCGTGCTGAAAGTATGTTGTCAATTTGTTTACTGTAAAATAACGTTGTATCTGGTCAAACACCATTTTTTCAAAAAGTTTACTAAAGGGTTGGTAACAGGCTGATTGGTCAGCTTTTTGAGCCAGTAAAGGGGGCTTTACTATTCTTAGGTAGCGGAATGACTTTTGCTTCCCTCCAGGCCTGGGGGCACACACTTTCTAGTAGGCTTAAAAATATGGCAAATAGGAGTGGCAATATCATCCGCTATTATCCAGGTTGATATGATGAATCAGGTTAGTAACACCTGGGTTTGGAGTGAAAACTTACAGGAGGGTAGCTCTCCAGGAACAGGGTTGGGCAACCCTGCTCTACAGGGTTGCCACTGCCTGATACATGAGCCATCTGATTCAATGGATGGAGCTGAGTTTGCCTTTTTTTCCTCTGTAGCTCAATTGGTAGAGCTTGGCGCTTGTAACGCCAGGGTAGTGGGTTCGATCCCCGGGACCACCCATACGTAAAAATGTATGCGCACATGACTGTAAGTCGCTTTGGATAAAAGCGTCTGCTAAATGGCATATTATATTATTATATTATTCCCAAAATGTCATTTAAGGTGCTCAAAAGCTTTTGACTATCATTCTTTATGTAATTTATCTTTGTTTCATAGTGTATACTGTACAATAGACTTTTAGAAGAAGTGCCTTTTGATAATAACAAGTGTTTGTTTCATGAGCTGGGATTTCTATACACCAGGTTGAAGTCATTAAGAGATGCTGGACAGGCAGACCTGAGCTTGTGTGGTTTTCAAATGTAGCCTATAGTAACGATTGAGTTTGAGAAGATGGACTAAGGACAGCTGGCCTTCCCATACAGCATTCTCATTGTGCTCTACAGGGTTGCCACTGCCTGGTACAGAGGGGGCACAGGGGAGGGGCAACAGGCATGACCTCACCCTGTTCAGAAACACACACTGGCACACAGAGTTCACCCAGCATGGCCTTCCATAGGAGCAGAGAGAGGGGTGGGAGGGAGGGAGGGAGAGAGAGGGAGAGAGAGGGAGGGAGAGAGAGAGAGAGAGGGAGGGAGAGGGAGAGAGAGAGAGAGAGGGAGAGAGAGGGGAGGAGAGGAGGGGAGGGAGAGAGAGAGGACTACATGAACATAATCTGTTTATGCTAAGGGTCACCGGGACAACCAGTTTTTTTTTTCCTCCCTGTCTTTTTGTTTTGAATGAATACAGTAGGACAGAATGGCTCATTATTTCCTAACTAAAGTACAGAACAAGAGCCATAGCAATCAAAGGAGCGGACTGAGCACACTTAGTCACAGAGGACCACTTCTCTTCCCTGATTGAATAGGGAGGATAACTCTCAGCATGACTCATGCCCAACGAGAGCACAAACAATACTTTTCATCGAAACGCACACACATACTGGCACACACACACACACTGGCAGACATCGACACGCCCAAACACATACAGGCACGCGCACAAATAGGCACACACATACACTGGCAATTGGCACACATACACACACCCTGTCACACATGCACAGTATCTCACACACACTCAGCATGCGTCTGATTTATGGAGCAGAGCGGGAGTGGCATCCGTTTTATGCCTGTTCAAAAGCTAGTCACGTCTGGCTCTGAGCTACAACTGTTAAAGCACAGGAGCATTATGCAGATGCGATGCTTTCCCAGCTTTACGTGCAACCTGGGGGGGTGCTCCTCTCTGAATAGTAGATGTTTAAACACAAATTGCTGACCTGGGAATGTGGCATCGAAAGGCTACAGCTCTACAGCTAGCAGGGAACAGCAGGCACACAGTCTGCTTTACTGATCCTAGGTCAGTCCGATGTGGCCGTTGTGAGCAGAGGTATGGACCTTGGTCAGAGTATAAGGTTATCCTACTGATCTTAGGTCAGCTGAATATGTATCTAATGTGTAAGCAAGGAAGCATCACCCAGTAAAAGGGTGTGTCAACAGTAGCATTGTGGCGTCATTCATTGTGGTTTACAGATGATAGTCTGTACAGTACCAGCTTATGTGTGCATGCCAAGCAGAGGTTTGCATGACTGGATAGCGATCAGGGATTTGAATACACTGTGTACTGTGAGTGTAGTGGGAAACAGACAGAAACCTGTTTGGAGTATTTGTCACGACATTTTTGTATTGCTACCCAATGAAGTGATACCGCCAAGTAACGAGACAGATAACTGGTGTCACGTCTCTACAAGGAGAAGGACAACAATGATAAGAAAGCTGTGAAAACATAAAAGCCTCACTTTCCTTTGGTCGGTTCCACTTTCTGTACGATTTTTAAACAAGTGTGTATTAGTCCTTGCTTGATGCTGTATTTCTGAGTGTTTTCTATATGTACAGTAGCACTCTGTGTATTTGTGTTGTGTATATCGAGCTGTCCAGTTAGTGTTCTGTCTTGTCTCTTTGCTGCAGCCATATCAACCAGAAGACCCAGTTTGAGAACCCAGTCCTGGAAGCCAAGAGGAAACTGAGCCTGGACACCCCCTCCCCTGGCCAGCAGGGGGCTCCCACACCCTCAGGTAATTATGAAGCAGTGTATTCAATGAATTGGGTATTTAATTGGGCATGCGTTCTGTATGCTAGTGTAGATATTGGGACAGACCATAAACCCATAATGTCTTACTCAAGGTTATCCGAAGTGAATGATTGTTTCTAATCGGATCTCAACAGCTTAGAGACCATATCAGTGCACGAGACAAATACACTACATGGCGAGGGAGGGAGGGAGAGGGAACTTGCGTGCTCACTGCTGAGTGATGTCATTGAGCCATCTGGGACTACAGGCTTGTGTTGACTAATTGTGATTTCCGATGTTTTCGGCGAGTCTTATGTTCAAATAAGGATATTGATCACCCAGCCATTGATGTTTCTCTGCTGAGCCAACTCTGTGTTGCTCACAGAATTGAACATATGTCAGACAAAGAAGTGACGACAGGCCGACCACAGAGGCTGACTCCCAATTAGACTCAGAAGAAGACGCAGACGCCAATAGCACTGTCTCGTTCTGTACCAGCTATCCCAGTGTTTAGCCTGGAGGCCCTGGATGTCGCAGACACATGGACCTACTGGGCAGTAGCAGGCTGATAATGCTGTCCTGGAACAGACCACAATAACTCATGAAAAAACCTTAACACCCACTGATCATGGTAGGATGTGTGTTCCTCAGGCTTTGCTGCTTTGCTTTGAGCATCATTGTCATCTTTCCAGAGGGGGAGGTCCTTGGAGGTTGTTGGACAACAAACTATGTGGTGAACAATCAGGGTTTGATTGAACAGAGACCCTAGTTTTAGAACCAGATCAACTCAGACCCTTTAGAATAGAAGAAGCACTGCTTTACTTGCATAGCCTATAGGGACAGAACAACTCCCAGGATACGACCCAAATGGCACCCTATTCCCTTTATAGTGCACTAATTTTGACCAGGGCCGTTAATAGGGTACCATTTGAGACGCAGCTCCAGTTAGTCAATTTTCTGTCCAGCTAAAATATTATTTTCCATGGTATTATTTCCTGGACTCTTCTTTTAGTTGATTCTCTAGTTTTCCCCAGGGTGGTTCTCTGCACTGCTCTGACAGAGCTCTCTACTCTGCTCCCTGCTCTCCGGGGTTGTTAATGAGTATTAATGGCTAATGGTGGTCTGTCTCCCAGCGGAGTGGAGCGGAGCGTAGGCCGGAGGGGCATGGTGCCACGTGGAGGGTTTTAAACGCTGTTTTGACAAGGTTCCCCAGTCTGACCTCCCTCTCAGAGAAAGGGGCAGCTGTCTGTCGCCACAGTGCTGAAGCTGTATGGGGATATAGGGTACCATCATTACCCTGCACTGACAATCATCTCGATATGGCATTTCATAGAATCACAGTGAGCGGCCTGCCTGAGAAATAGGCCACCCCATTTGTGTTACCTTGACATAATCAGGGCTATGTTAACATGTCTATGTAGCACCCCCTTAACTCCTCCACACACATACACACACATATATTCTCACACACAAACAGCTCAGTGACACTGCTGGTATGCGAGAATGTCATGTTAATCACACTCAGCATAATCTGTTTTCTCTGAGCGCTGAAAATCCAATTATGCAAATCAAAATCCCATGACACATTGACGGGTAGAGGACATGGCGGGTAGTGGAGGAGGAGGGGGGTGTATATCTTTACCCCTCCTAATGAGATTGATACCCCCACCTCTCCTCTATCCATCCATCCGTCAGTGGGTGAAGCAACACTAGAGGGGAACACAGCCCATAACTCACCCAATGGAAACCAAGGTCAAGGGCTATAAATGACTGAGGCCATGGCTGATTAACCTCGGTCTCTCTATCTATCCACTGTATCTCTATCTATTTCTCTCCCTCGCTCTCTCTTTCTCTCCCTTTCTCTCTCTCCCTCCTATTTCTCTCCATCCCCCTGTCGCCCTGTCTCAGTCACATGGTGAGAGCCTCCAGCTGCAGGTTGTCGTGACTGAGGTCAGCTCTTTTCTGTTTGCCTCCATCCCTGTGTTATGGTGGTTAGTGTACACACACACACACAGTTTGTCTCCTGGACATTTTTTCCCATGCACCATCCTGCAGGCATAACATAGGAAATTCAAGCTGAAAGTTTATCACATCTCTGAAAGCTTTGAAATGTAAAGATCTTATCCAAACGGATGCATCACTGCTTTGTGCGTCATGCGTGTGTGTTTGTCTTTTTCACTGACAGGCTTAGGTATAAGAGTAGTAGGCTATCTCTGTTCAGTGGTACACTCTTAGAAAAAAAAAAAGTGCTATTTAGAAACGAAAAGGGTTCTTCGGCTGTCCCCATAGGAGAACCCTTTGAAGAACCGTTTTTGGTTCCAGGTAGAACCCTTTTGGGTTCCATGTAAAAACATGGAACCCAAAAGAGATCTAGCTGGAAGCGAAAAGTGTTCTCCTATGGGAACATCTCATTACAAACTCATGGGCTTTAATATGGAGTTACTCCCCCCTTTGCTGCTATAACAGGCTCCACTCTTCTGGGAAGGCTTTCCACTAGATGTTGGAACATTGCTGCGGGGACTTGCTTCCATTCAGCCACACAAGCATTAGTGAGGTCGGGCACTGATGTTGGGCGATTAGGCCTGGCTCACAGTCGGTGTTCCAATTCATCCCGATGAGGTTGAGGTCAGGGCTCTGTGCAGACCAGTCAAGTTCTTCCACACCGATCCCGGGGCATTGTCATGCTGAAACAGGAAAGGTACATTATTCCTCCTCCCCCAAACTTTACAGTTGGCACTATACATTGGGGCAGGTAGCATTCTCCTGGCATCCGCCAAACCCAGATTAGTCCGTCAGACTGCCAGATGGTGAAGTGTGATTCATCACTCCAGAGAACGCGTTTCCACTGCTCCAGAGTCCAATGGAGGCGAGCTTTACAACACTCCAGCCAACGCTTGGCATTGTGCATGGTGATCTTAGGCTTGTGTGCGGCTGCTCGGCCATGGGAACCCATTTCATGACGCTCCAGACGAACAGTTATTGTGCTGACGTTGCTTCCAGAGGCAGTTTGGAACTCGGTAGTGAGTGTTGCAACCGAGGACAGACGATTTTTATGCGCTTCAGCACTCAGCGTTCCAGTTCTGTGTGCTTGTGTGGCCTACCACTTCATGGCTGAGACGTTGTTGCTCCTAGACGTTTCCACTTCACAATAACAGCACTTACAGTTGACCGAGGCAGCTCTAGCAGGGCAGAAATTTTGCTAACTTTTGTCTGAAAGGTGGCATCCTATGACGGTGCCACGTTGAAAGTCAATGAGCTCTTCAGTAAGGTCATTCTACTGCCAATGTTTGTCTATGGAGATTGCATGGCGGTGTGCTCGATTTTATACACCTGTCAGCAACGTGTGTGGTGAAATAGCCGAATCCACTAATTTGAAGCGGTGTCCCCATACTTTTGTATATATAGTGTAGATTGTATGTTCTATCCATTTAATTGTTTGCACCATTTGTAATCTCCCTTATTTTATTTTATTTTATGTTTTTCTCTATTCTTTTCTTCCCCCTACCCTACCATCCCTACCCTGATCGGAGTAAACTAACGGACAACAATAATTCTACTTTTACTTACAGCTATTTACTTGTAGTTAAATAATTAGACATATATTCCTAATTTCTTCTTTCTTCAAGTGCTGGATTTTCACCCACAGCAGCCAATCACCATTCATTCGGATTTTAACTCCAACCCGCCGATATCCACAGATTAACCCATCTTTCCCAGTATAATGCCATTTTGCTATTTCCTTTTACAAAACATCCCTCCATTTTACTATGATGTCTTACGAGGGTCCTGAACCTTCCTATTTGTGAAATTTTTGTCGATATTGCCCTAAAGTAAATACTTTACCCAAGAGTATAATGATATTTCCCATTGACTGATCTTGGTTTACTCAGATCCCATAACAATACAGTTTGCAGGTCCATCTGAAACCTGATATTATTACATAACAACCATTCCTGGACCGGACTCCAAAAGCGAGCCACCGATTGACAGTACCAGAACATTTTTTATATTGATTCTGTTTCCTTGTCGCAGAGTCTGCACAAGGTTGACTGTTCAATGCCCCATATACTAAGCATTCTTTTTGTAGCAAGTATTTTATATAATAGCTTAAATTGAAATGAATGAATTTATGTGTCAATTGTTGTTTTATATGTCCGTTCATAGACCCGATGCTAAGGTAGTGGGACATCAAAAACCTGTTCCCAACTGACTTGAATTTTATACGGTATTGCTGTCAAACCTTTTTCGATTTATACTAATAATTTTAAGCCATTTATGATTTTTAAGTGGTGGCTGACAAACTAATTATTTAAAAAATGACTAAGTAATTGTCTCTTCCAATTGTGTGGCAGAGCCGTGATGAGTTAGTTATAATTATGTATTGAGCATACACCTCCATACACTGTTGATATGTGATTTGAGTGTTTGGTCGAATTAGTGACAATCAGAGTGACGTGCAGCTGTCAGATGTCTTGTCACCGTGGCTATAGCCTACACTGTGACGATACAGGGGACAGATGGCTAACAGCCTGTGAGCATGCATCTGTGTCTGTCTGCCACACACACACACACACACACACACACACACACACAGTTGTCCCATGTGGATATATTAGACTAAAATAAGCATAGCGGCATAGATGTGTCACTGTCGTCTGTCATCGTGGATTAGCGCTAGCAGCTAGCCTAGCGTGGTTTCTCTGTCAGATCAATGCAGCTGAACAACACTGACAGGCCTTGTGATGATAATGCCACAAACAAACAGGGAATTAATAGTCACTCATTTGTCAAGTAAAATACTTCAATCGGTCAATAAGATTTGAGAGCAATTAGCTGAATTACAGTCATAATAATTATCATAAAATTGCTGATAGTACTTCCTCCTACAATTTGCATCTCTCATTCTCTCTCTCTCCCTCTCTCCATCAGATGAGCCTGTTGTGGGTGTGAGGGGTTTTGTGCGGGACCCAGCCCATCTCCAGGGCTCCATTCTGAGGACAGCTCTAAGGAAGAGCCCCCAGGGGTTTGGCTTCACCATCATCGGGGGCGACCGCCATGATGAGTTCCTCCAGGTGAAGAACGTGCTCCGAGACGGCCCTGCCGCGTACGACAACAAGATGGCCTCTGGTGAGTGTGGTACGCGCACGTAAACACAAACACACTCTTACACACACACACACCAGCAAGGTTAATCTTCATGGTACACACCCTGCCTCTTGACAGTAAAACTCCACATCAATTACATTTTACATTTTAGTCATTTAGCAGGCGCTCTTATCCAGAGCGACTTACAGTTAGTGAGTGCATACATTTTTTCATACTGGCCCCCCGTGGGAATCGAACCCACAACCCTGGTGTTGCAAACGCCATGCTCTACCAACTGAGCTACACACAACTCAATAACAGTACATGTTATGGTGAACGCCCTGATTTGAAGTGGAGTCATATATTTCAGATTTCATAGGTCCCTTGGCTGTGCTTCTTTGCATACCTATGGTTATTACGAGCATGCTTATCTATAAGTGTGATCATATATCTTGGATCAGGTTGTGACATACAGTATATAGTCCATGCTGTCTTCACTAAACAACCATTACTACCACTGATATACACCTGCCAGTGGCTCATTGAATGCTTTAGGAGAATATTAATTCTATAGACCGTGAGATCAGATGTATGGTAGTTATAATGAGTTGTTTATTGTCTAATATAAATCCCGTCAGAATATGCATCATGGGATAACGCATTAGAGCACGGTAGTACCATGCATACTAAGTGTACTGCTAGCAGCAGTCATTTATGCCAGAGTGGTGTCATTTTAATGAGCATGGAGAGTAATTTGATCTGGACATTGGGTCTCTGAAGCAATCCCATCTCATATCTGAGTTAATAGTTAACTCAGGGCCCTTAACTCTGTCTTTCAGAGTGTGTGCATGTGTGTACGTGAAGTATGGGCTTAATTACCAGTGTTTGCCCTGACAGTGATTGGCTGTTGTTCCATCTCAATCTCCTCTCATTTGGTTTGTTCAGCGAATGTATATAACACAGTGAAATGTTAGATGTGTTTGTTAGTAACAGCTATTGATTGTGTTGGGTGGATCCTTCAGGGGAGTCCCAGCTAGCCAGCAGTGAAGGGAGTTTCCTGCTTTTGTTTTGGTTGATTGGAGATAAGAATATTCCCCTACTCTTCATTGATCTGTCTGGGAGCAGCTGAGCTAATAAACCCAGGCTAGAATGATGGCGGATGAGGGGAATATAATAGAGTTATGCTGTACCTTACATCAACCCCAGAGCAGCTGTTTATGATCCAAACTGAATTGTGTTTTAATTGACTCTATGCTCTGAACCTGGTTACTATGTCATGACTAAACCATAGCACACTCCCATTCTAGGAATGTACCAATCAGTACCCAATGCTGATATGTCTTCCCTCTCCCTCCGCTCCACCAGGTGATGTGATCGTGGACATCAACGGGCTGTGTGTCCTGGGGAAGACCCATGCTGAAGTGGTTCAGCTGTTTCAGTCTATCCCAGTCAACCAGTATGTGGACATGGTGTTGTGTCGTGGCTACCCCCTGCCTGAGGACACCAGCGGAAGTGATGATGCCTCAGGGGATGTAGCCACCACCCTGCCCCTGGCCCCAGAAGCCACCCCGTCACCTTCCACCTCCAACCCCCAGGACATACACTACATCACAAGCCCAGACGGCACCCTTCCTAGACAGGTACAGTCAGAAGAGAATTCGGCCACCCCGCTGATCCCGGTTCCTCTCTAGGATTCTTCCTTCTTGGGGATTTTTCCTGGCTACTGTGCTTCCTTTTTTGCTTGCTGTTAGGGGTCTAGGCTGGGTTTCTCTAAAAGCACTTTGTGACCAATGCTGATTTAAAAAGGGCCTTTATAAATAGATTTTGGTTAATTGATTGACAGACCACCGCAACTGCAGTCCCAACCATGACCAACGGGGGGCGCCACTACCCTGAGGGTCCAGACCCCACGCTGCTGCAGCCGGAGCTGGTGGGCGTGCCCCTGGTGAAGGGGCCGGGAGGGTTTGGCTTTGCCATCGCAGACTGCCCCCTGGGCCAGAAGGTAACATATATGGGTGATGAGTTGTTGGTTTTCTTTTATGTCTGGAAAAATGATTTCCGGCAACACTTTACTATAGCTCCCCTTATGTATGACGAATGTTATATTAATGCCTTATGTAGCAGTAGCTGTTGCAAAGACTTTATATATGTATACATAATGAATGTGTCCGTTAAGAGTTACCGAATTTACTTTTCGGAGGATAAGAAATGTAATCTAATGTAATATAGCCTAACTGAATCTAATCTAACCTAATCGAATGTAATTTCAGGTGAAGATGATCCTGGATGCCCAGTGGTGCCGTGGTCTGCTGAAGGGTGATGTTATCAAGGAGATCAACCGTCAGAACGTCCAGACACTGAGTCACTCCCAGGTGGTGGACATCCTCAAAGACCTGCCGGTGGGCAGCGAGGTCAACGTCCTTGTACTCAGAGGAGGTGAGAGAGAGGGGATGGTAGGAGGAGATAGGTGGGGGTGGTAGGAGGAGGTGATAGGAGGTGATAGATAGGAGGAGATAGAAAGGAGGGGCTAGGAAGCGCTACATAGGAGGTGGTAGGATGAGGTGATAGGAGGACATAGGAGGTGTTGCATGCCTTCATCACAGTCAACATACTGGGGTTCAGAGGAGCTGCGAGACTAAACTGTACACTGCCACCTTAGTGATGCCATGACTTTAGTGTGACAGGGTCATGCGGCTGTGAAGACGTAGTAATAGTAGTTCCTAGAGGAAGTCCATTAGATGGCCGTTCAGCTCCTCAGCAGCCAGCCCTCCCAAAGGCCAGCCCCAGAGCCAGCCACCGTTTAATAAAGCAATTTCATGCTCGTCTATCCCACTATCCATCCACTATCCATTTCCCATTTGCACCTCTGCATACAAGCAGGCAGGCTCAGAGAGCCGTAATAGTGGGGCTGTGAATATGATACCTTGACCAGAAAGGTGAGGAGGAGGGGATGCCAGTGGGAGTTAGATTCAAACAACTCTAGTATTTGGCTAGGTACATTTGGAAGTCGGATGTTTGCATACACCTTAGACAAATACATATAAACTCAGTTTTTCACAATTCCTGACATTTAATGCTAGTAAAAATTCCCTGTCTTAGGTCAGTTAGCGTCACCACTTTATTTTAAGAATGTGAAATGTCAGAATAATAGTAGAGAGAATGATTTATTTCAGCTTTTATTTCTTTCATCACATTCCCAGTGGGTCAGAAGTTTACATACACTCAATTATTATTGGATAGCATTGCCTTTAAATTGTTTAACTTGGGTCAAACGTTTCGGGTAGACTTCCACAAGCTTCCCACAAGAAGTTGGGTACATTTGGCCCATTCCTCCTGACAGAGCTGGTGTAACTGAGTCAGGTTTGTAGGCCTCCTTGCTCGCACACGCTTTTTCAGTTCTGCCTACAAATTGTCTATAGGATTGAGGTCAGGGCTTTGTGATGGCCACTCCAATACCTTGACATTGTTGTCCTTAAGCCATTTTGCCACAACTTTGGAAGTATGCTTGGGGTCATTGTCCATTTGGAAGACCCATTTGCGACCAAGCTTTAACTTCCTGACTGATGTCTTGAGATGTTGCTCCAATATATCCACATAATTTTCCTTCCTCATGATGCCATCTATTTTGTGAAGTGCACCAGTCCCTCCTGCAGCAAAGCACCCCCACAGCATGATGCTACCACCTCCGTGTTCCACGGTTGGGATGGTGTTCTTCGGCTTGCAAGCTCCCCCTTTTTCCTCCAAACATAACGATGGTCATTATGGCCAAACAGTTCTATTTTTGTTTCATCAGACCAGAGGACATTTCTCCAAAACGTACGATCTTTGTCCCCATGTGCAGTTGCAAACCATAGTCTGGATTTTTTATGGTGGTTTTGGAGCAGTGGCTTCTTCCTTGCTGAGCGGCCTTTCAGGTTATGTCGATATAAGACTTGTTTTACTGTGGATATAGATACTTTTGTACCTGTTTCCTCCAGCATCTTCACAAGGTCCTTTGCTGTTGTTCTGGGATTTATTTGCACTTTTCGCACCAAAGTATGTTAATCTCTAGGAGACAGAACATGTCTCCTTCCTGAGCGGTATGACGGCTGCGTGGTCCCATGGTGTTTATACTTGCATACTATTGTTTGTACAGATGAACATGGTACCTTCAGGTGTTTGGAAATTGCTCCCAAGGATGAACCAGACTTGTGGAGGTCTACCATTTTTTGGCTGAGGTCTTGGCTGATTTCTTTTGATTTTCCCATGATGTCAAGCAAAGAGGCACTGAGTTTGAAGGTAGGCCTTGAAATACATCCACAGGTACACCTCCAATTGACTCAAATGATGTAAATTAGCCTATCAGAAGCTTCTAAAGCCATGACATCATTTTCTGGAATTTTCCAAGCTGTTTAAAGGGACAGTCAACTTAGTGTATGTAAACTTCTGACCCACTGGAATTGTGATACAGTAAATTATAAGTGAAATAATCTGTCTGTAAACAATTGTTGGAAAGATTACTTGTGTCATGCACAAAGTAGATGTCCTAACCGACTTGCCGAAACTATAGTTTGTTAACAAGAAATTTGTGGAGTGGTTGAAAAACGAGTTTTAATGACTCCAACCTAAGTGTATGTAAACTTCCGACTTCAACTGTAGTTAGATAAGCATTCAGTGGCAGACAGCCCAACAGAGGCAGTCTGACATTTTGTGCGAAGGACAGTAATAGTGGCCCTGCTCACCACTTCAAAGGGGATGCTGTCACTGAATAAACTGAAGAGCTCTTTCCATTTGCCTGCACCGCAATAGCCAAGATGCTGTACGTTGTGTTAACGTATGCTCCAATGCTCTGAAGAATGCTAAGGAGTTAAGATACAGCATGTTCACCTAGTGATGTGTGCTCCAGTGCTCTGAAAGGTCCTAAGGAATCAAGATGCAGTATTTTCAGCCAGAGATTTTGTTTGTCGTGAGAAGGCCTGGGGGAGGGAGCAGGTTCAGGTTGTGCTGTTGACTCCTCCAGGGAAGGATGAGGGGAGACTGATGGAGGGGCTGGCAGGAGACCACAGCCTGGCCTGGCAGGGTTATCAGGAAGGGAGGGGTGTTTAACTCTAGAGCCACCTGAGGTCACCTAGGGGCTGAGGTGTAGAACCTGGGTCTATGACCAGGGGGTAACATCAGCTCTCCACCACTGACCGGCACAGAGAGGGGGAACAGGAACTTGCCTGCTCGGCTGGCCACACCACACACTCCACCTACTCCGGGGTGCTTCCGCTGTGCAATAATGGGGCTTGCCCTAGGCGGTACTGGTAATACCAATGTGGATTGTCACCAATCCCACATGGTCAATGAAAGGTGGTGACTAGCTGTGTGTCATACAGATGGATATACACCCCTGGGTCATCCCTTCATGGTCACTGTGCTTCTCTTAATGAGGGTGAACTGCTGAGCCCTTCTCTGAATAGACTGTCTGACTGTGGTAGCAGGTGTGGATAATACAGTACACGGTTATCCCATGGCGAGGCACAATGTCATATATCTTCTCTCATCCCTCTTCCCTCTGTCTATTTCTCTGTTGAGATCAGAGATCCTTCCCATGCTGATGCTTGAGTATAGTGCCACCAACTGGTCAAGTTGAACCATGATCTTGCTGGCTTTAGTATCAGAGAGGAGAGCAGGGAAAGGAGATGTATGGGGCAATGGGGCTCCGATCATGGTCACTACTCATTCTGTAGGGCAGGGGTTCCCAAACTTCCAGCATTGGGGAACATCTTGCACCCACGTCTATTTCTATGGCCACAAGCACTGTTCATGACACAAACTGTTTACACCCCTCTTGTTGGCGGAGAGAACATTTTGCAGGTTTAAAGCTTATTTTCTGCAATTCTACACATTTTGTCATGGGGTGCAGAGAACATTTAGCAGTTTTAAAGCTAATTTTCTTGCAATTATACATTTTGCCATGTCTGATGTGTATTCATGTGATATTTGAGTGACTCGAACATTACTACAAAATCTATGGACAAAAAAAACGTTAGCTGACATGGGCTAGTTGATCTGGACATTTCTGACAAGTTATAAATAGCTCTCTAATGTATACAATGACTGAAAAGACCCAATTAAAAAATTGCACCTTGTGCCTTCTACTATTACAACTTTCAAGACTGACCCCCGTGCCCCCCCGTCCCCCGTCGACCCCTCACGCCCCCTTTAGGCGCGAGGGGTGTATGATGAAAGAGAATGTAGAGTCTACAGCAGAGCAAGATCAATAGTGTGAGGAAATAGAGATGTATAATAATCTATCAGACTTCCAGCACAATAACCCCCTAAGGCACTGGAACCTGTCCTCCATAATACATTGTTATTATACTGTATTGAGTCATCTTTCTGTCTAATAACATAGTTTTTCTCTCTCTCCCTCTCTCCATCTCTCCCCAGGTCAGACATCTCCTGTGAAGTCTCTAAAACCTGTAAGTTAATATAAATGCTTTTAATTACCCTTCTCCTTCTCTTCTCCTTCCTCTCTTCCAGAGACTCTCCCCACGGCCTCTACAGGGGATTCTAATCAGAGACTTGTGTCCCAAATGGTGCCCTATTCCCTATATAGTGTACCACTTTTGACCAGGGCCCATAGGGCTCTGGTCAAAGTAGTGCACTATGTAGGGAATAGTGCCATTTGGGACTCAGATACTCAGAGTGTAGAGTGGGTCTGGGAACATAAATGGAAACACAGGGCTTTTAAACACCAGATAGCAGTTGAATTATTAAAACAAGCCCTGATATAACTTTGTCTTAGTTTCTTTCCCCGCCAGTAGCAGTCTGCTGTAGAGAGCAGTACATTATTCAGGGAGCTGTCATGAGCCACACGCGCGCACACACACACACACACACACACACACACACACACACACACACACACACACACACACACACTGGTATTATTTTTGGAGGCAGCCGGCTGACCCGGGTGGGTGAATGTGCTCCTGGCAAACAGCTATTTAACATCCTGGCTGCTAGTAGCTGTACTGTATAGCAGGGTTTAAGCTGTAAAGCCATGTTCAACAGTTCTGTTGAGCCTTCTTTACAACAGAGTATATGAGTCTACTGGGTCAGCAACAGAGACTTGTATTGAGATATAATACATCCAAATAGAAGACTCCGGCTCAGTGGAAGTATTTTCCTACAGCTTTATGAGGGACTGTGTTAATAAAGGCCAGCACTGCAGACACTAGGGGAAAACTTCTAAGGGTAGTTTGGGAGTACAGAAGTACATGCACTGTCTTGCTAAATCCACCGCTATTACCCGTAAGTGTCTGAGTTATAGATTATTCTGTACTGTCAATTTTTTAAAATTGATGTAAAATAGATAGTTTAATTTAAGAATCTTGTTTGTTGTGTTGCAGTGCACTGCTCCCATGTCGCAGCAGAGGCAGGAGAGACAGGAGAAGGAGAAGACCACCAGCACGGAGACCCTCAGCCCCCCAGAGCCATCCCTGACCCCGGCCCGCCAGCCCCTTCCCTTCCCCCCCAACACCATGCGCTCAGCCTCCCCCAAACCTGACCCGTCAGAACTCTACCTCAAGTCCAAGGCCCTGCTGGACAGCAAACGTGAGTATACAGTACAAACAGTACAGTCCCTAGCCAGTCTCACACATCGCTCTTCTTGACTCATTGTTCTAATAATTACTGAACATAGAATGTGTCGGTCTTGTTCCTCCTTCTCCTTTCCCTCCTCTTCCCCATCCAGCCCCCAACACCAAGGACCTAGATGTGTTCATAAAGAGGAACCAGGAGTCAGGCTTTGGTTTCCGCGTTTTAGGCGGGGAGGGGCCAGATCAGCCCGTAAGTACCCTCCCAGAGGGACTGCTCAATCCTGGTTCAGCCAGCATTAACACTCTGGGAACACTGTGGGCTGCTTACCCGGTCCCAGATGAAGCCTAGTGGTTTAAATGGGTTACCGCCATTGACCGTGCTTTTTAGTCCATGAGTATGCTTAATCTGGGTCTGGGAAACTGGCTTGAAATCTGGTTAAAGTTATCCCCCTGTGTTTGAGTGGGTTAGATAAATCTCATCATGCCTTCCTCTGTTCCCTGGCTCCAGGTGTACATTGGTGCTATCGTGCCCCTGGGCGCAGCAGAGAAGGACGGGCGTCTCCGGGCAGGTGATGAGCTCATGTGTATCGACGGGGTACCAGTAAAGGGCAAATCTCACAAGCAGGTGCTGGAGCTGATGACCAACGCTGCCCGCAACGGACAGGTCATGCTGACAGTCCGCAGGAAACTGGCTCACACAGGTATGTGTGAGAGATGGAGAAATTAGAGGCAGACAGAAACAGAGAAATAGTTTTTGAGTGTTTATGCAACTCTTCTAAAAGTGACGATAGTTGTGAGAAGTGCTGTAGACGTCAGATCCAGTCGGGGGAGATGATTTACATAACAAACAGAAAACAAGAAGAGTGCTGTTCTGTTCTGGTCTGTTATGTTTTGACGGACAGACAGACTGAAGCCCCTGCTGTACGCAGCTTTGTTTACACACACAAATAAGCTTCAATGACTAGAGAAGACACTTTTGAAATTGGATTTGATGTATTGTAATGACAGACATGGTTGAACTGGAAAAATTAAGCATCAATCATCAAAGCTTTGTGGTTGAAATCAAGACTTGACAAAGATTTTCACTCCAAATATTGATTTCCTATTCTGTGCTCAGTTCAGATATGCCATACACACATCAGATAGTCTTTCAATACAGTAATTGTGGGGTTCATTTTAAAATGAGCACTGGAATGAAATTGGATCAGTCTAAAGGAATAATGTGGTGGCATAAACTGAGCATTCCCTTGAGCTTTCATATGAATGGCTGTGAGAGACCATAAACAACGTAAAAATTAGGTGATTCAAATGTAAACGGTAAGCTACCCCAAATGAAACTATTCCTCCCTGTGTGTGATCAGAGGGGAGTAGAGAGGAGGACGTTGGTGGTGGTCAGAAGAAGGTGTCTCCTGCCCTGGTTAACGGCTCTCCCAAGCTGCCCCGCATCGAGGTCCCTACGGCCAGCTCCCCCCAACACCCAGAGTGCTACAACGTCACCCTGCAACGAAAAGACAACGAAGGCTTCGGCTTCGTAATTCTTACCTCCAAGAACAAGCCTCCTCCCGGAGGTAAGAAAGAGAGAGCATCATATCATAGAACGTTCAGCTCAGCTAGTCTGATAGCTTGTAGACTAGGCTAGCGGAGGAAATGCTTTGGAACTCTGTATGGGTTGTGTTCTTTGGAAGTTGACACAAGCATAAACTGTTTTGGCTATATTTGTTTGTGTCCGTGCTTCTATTCCTCTGTCACAATACCTAGACACTTCTCAATGCCGCCCATTTCAAGTAGTTATTCTTCTCTTGTTCGAAGGAGCAGAAAGTAGCCTTTTTTGCACAATTGGTCTTTCCAAGCATATTACCGATTGTTCAACTCACAGAGCACGGCAATAATAATAATAATATGCCATTTAGCAGACGCTTTTATCCAAAGCGACTTAGTCATGCGTGCATACATTTTTGTGTATGGGTGGTCCCGGGGATCGAACCCACTACCTTGGCGTTACAAGCGCCGTGCTCTACCAGCTGAGCTACAGAGGACCACATGACCCTTGCTCTCTCTCCCGTTCTGTCTCGCTCTCAGCTTCTACCTTTCTTTCTCTCTCTCTCTCTCTCTCTCTCTCTTTCTTTCTTACTTTCTCTCCTCTCATGGCTCAGTCATGCAGTACTGGAGTTTGTTTGTCTGTCTGGCAGAGTAGTGGTTTCCTAAGCAGTGCAGTCAGTACAATGGTACACTGAAGTACAAACGCAGACCGGAGGCATGGAGGAATGAGGATAAATCACTCAAATATAGAACATAAAATACTTCCTATGAGGGAGATGATAAACGTCAATACAAAGAGTCTCTCAAATTGTGTTTTGTTGATAACGTAAAAAAAGGAGTATTACAGCTTTATTTAGCTTTATTGAATACTGCTTTGGTACAATGAAGAACCAGGTTGGTAATACAATAAAAAACAATTACTGCCTCACAAGCAACATCTGCACTGTACCTGACAGAGCTGAGCTAAATTGTCCTGTCATCTCTTTCTCTCGCTCTCACGCTTTAGTTATCCCTCACAAGATTGGCCGCATCATCGAGGGCAGCCCCACGGACCGTAACGGTCAGCTGAAGGTAGGCGACCGTATCTCAGCGGTCAACTCCCAGTCCATCATGGAACTGTCCCACAACGACATCGTCCAGCTCATCAAGGAGGCCGGCAACACTGTCACCCTCACTGTGGTGCCGGAGGATGGTATGAACTTCCACAGACACACTGAACTCTGGGATATAGAGTCCTACTTGATATGGGTTTCTGTAGTCTTTTTGTTTATGTTTACTGTGGAACTACTAAGTTTATTAGTCTTGCATTTTCTGTTTTTTGTTCTTTTGATATTGTTAGAAGTGAAAGAGGAATGGGATGGAGTTGAGATGACTGTGACTGGAGAGGATGAAGTGCTAGTGTGCATGACATTCCATACTGAAAGTCTTCTGTGTGTTCTTTTAGAGAATAGTGGTCCTGCATCTGGAACCAGTTCAGCCAAGCAGAGCCCTGCAGCACAGCACAGAGCTATGGGCCAGCAGCCTCCCAGCCACACTGACAGGTACAGAAGTGGACACACACACACCGCTACATGGCCCATCCTAAAGAGGAGAGAAGGAAAGAGAAGGATTAACAGAGGGTGGTTTGGCTGCACTCTGTCTTTTTTTATTATTTTTTTATTTAACCTTTATTTAACTAGGCAAGTCAGTTAAGAACAAATTCTTATTTACAATGACGGCCTACACCGGCCAAACCCGGACGACGCTGGGCCAATTGTGCGCCGCCCTATGGGACTCCCAATCACGGCCGGTTGTGATACAGCCTGGAATCGAACCAGGGGGTCTGTAGTGACGCCTCAAGCACTGAGATGCAGTGCCTTAGACCGCTGCGCCACTCGGGAGTCTTTGATCTTCCTGTTTAAACCAGATTACCTGTCAGACTTAATCCATTACTACAGCACCCATAATTCCCCTCGCCTCCCCGAACCCTGTTCTCTCTCTCTGTCTCCCCCTCTCTCTCCCCTTCTCTCTCTCTTTCTTTCTGCTCTGCTCACCGTGTGGTTTCACCCTGGATCTCTCCTCATTTCCCTTTACTCTCCTCTTCTCTAATCAAGTCAAACCATTCCTCCTTCTCAGTAATCTCTAACACATGGCTAGGGTCAGGCAGGTCTCTGTAAATAAGGAGAGCTTGAGAGGGAGGCTGTTGGCTCGGCAGTCTTAAGTATGTAAACTCTCCCCGTAGACACAGCCAGTCAGGGAAAGCACACTGTTAAGAAGACTCTTTAATATCACTGACGCTCAACTCCCACAGAGGATTATAATGAGCTTTGTAAAGCATTGAAGTCTGCTGGAAGCGTCAGTTACTTTAGTTTACAGAACAAGCAGCTTGTCTCTTCAGAAGAATTATAGCATATATCCATTAACCCCACACTGTATAATCATACTGAAGGAAAGAGACACTAAAAACCTTGTGAAGGAAGAAACCTGTCTGGTACTGTAATTGCTAAGTACACTGACACTGTGATGTTTTGTCTGTGACTGTTTAGGAATGGAGACCCTCTGGAGTATAAGTCCCTTCCACCCAGCGAGATGGGACAACTCATCACCTCAGGCCCCAAGCAGGTGAGGCTATGGCGATAAACAGTCAAACCCTGTGTGTGTTAGTGTGTTTATTGCTGTGTTTGTGGTTATGTTTTCATACCCATGGGGAACAATATTGGGTACCTGAATATCATAAAGCATGCATTACACATCTATTACCACATAAACATGACATAATAGCTACACGTTAGCTGAATAACTGAATTGTACGTGATAGAGATGTATATTTTCTCTGTATCAGGGCTGTTTCCACGTGGAGCTGGAGCGAGGCCAGCGGGGTTTTGGCTTCAGTCTGCGGGGAGGGAAGGAGTACAATATGGGCCTGTTCATTCTGAGACTGGCGGAGGAGGGCCCTGCACTGAAGGACGGCAGGATACACGTGAGTCAACCCAGGGCATTAATACCTGCTCTCATAGATGGTGGCTTCTTCTGTTCTCTCTATGAGAATGGGTACAGAACTACATGTGTGATGAAAGGCGTTTATGAGAGAGAATTTGTTTGACTCATTTAGCCCGTTTGTACTGTAATGTCATGTGTGTTGTTACCACAGGTTGGAGATCAGATTGTGGAGATCAATGGTGAGCCCACCCAGGGCATCACACACACCCGGGCCATCGAGCTGATCCAGGCTGGGGGCACCAAGGTCCTGCTGCTCCTCAGACCTGGCCTGGGCCGGGTCCCCGACCCCAGTGAGTGACCTCGGACTCAATAGGACGAATACTCTACTCAAACACACCTAGAAGAGTGACCATGTTCTCAACCATATCTGAACTCAACTCACAGCCTACTCAGACACTGTTACTACTGCTTAAGATACACATACGCATAGAAGACTGACCATGGACTAACCATATAATTAGAATGTGTCCATTCTAGTATTTCTAGTTATATTTCTAGAATACTATTCTATTTCTAGAATACTATTTATTCTACTTCTAGGGACTCAACACGTAACTACTGCTCAAACACTATTACTACTGCTTCCAACACACACACACACACACACACACACACACACACACACACACACACACACAGAATATAACCAAGCATTTACAGTACTTATCAATGACCATACCTCCCTTTCTTGCATGTGAAGGCTGTTGCAGGCGTCTCTCTTTCTCTCGCATTATACCGCTCTATCTATCTGGCTCTAACTCTGTCTGGCTGTCCTGGCACTGTTCTCTCTCTTTTCTTCCTCCCTGTAGGTGTGAACCCTTCTTCCTCCACCCTGTGCTTCTACATGAAACCAGAGCATCACTAGTGGCCTCACTGCTTTTCTTGGTCTGTCCCTAATAACCTTGGTAAACCACCTCGTACTCCTCACTCCTCCTCTTTGCCTCTGTTCTCTCCTTTTAAAATCAGCTTATGTCTCTCTCCTCCTTGCCCCCTCAATCAGAACTGGACAGCTCCTATCATAACAGCCCTATGCCCAGATAAGGCCTCGTAGGATGAGAGCTACTCTAGCTGTAACCTGTAGGAGGTGGTCTGAACGGAGGCAGTGGCTCCGGGGAAACAAGTTTACTAACTAAGGCCTCAATTCAATCAATCACAGATAAAGGAAATTGCACTAGAGTACAGGTTCACTCTGAATGTTAATGCGGTACTAGAGGTGTTTAGCATGATAAGACACATGCCACAAGTTGTTTTTCTCAAGGACAAAACCAATCATGTCCTTAAAATACAGAGTTGGCATTCTGAGTGAAACTGCAGTTTTTCATTTATCTGCAATTGATTGAATTGGGGCCTGAGTTCCATGCTGGAGCAGGAAGTGGCTCTAGAGCCCCTGAGGTTGTTTTAAGGTTATTACAGAACCCAAACACAACATCACTGAACGCACACAACATCACAATGATTGAGACCAGGAGAAAGTCGTTAACTAGATATTGATCAATGGAAGGAGGGCAAATGTTAAAAAGATGTGTGTGCGTTCACCGGTATCAACTCTCTCCTGTCTTGAGATTAAGAAGAATGGATTTCTATGAGTTGTTCCTCATAGAAATCGAAAAACCCATTTCAGCTCCACTAAGTCCATCTCACTTGCTGGTTCTCCGCTACATTTCTGCTCTCTCAATCATGCCAGCGCTACTCTTATCAGCTCTAGAAGGAAATTGAAATGTCAGCCGTGTGACTGTGGAGAAAACCTTGCACCTACCTCCCTTTGATGTCACTGGCCTCCACTGATACATATCTCAGATTCATATTGTCTATTTGACTCAAAAGCTCATATTAAAGTTAATGGAAAGATAGAGTAAGAAATTAATTGTTTTATATGTACACTTATTTTAAGAGATTTAAAGATGCTTCACCACCTTCACATATTGAATATACAATATATATCCCAGACTAATATAACTACTGTCTTTCCAATCTGCTTCAATATCACAATCTGTTTTTTTTCTTTCTCTCAGCTAGCGAGAGGTGAAACCATTTCATTTCTCACTCACTATGACTCTCTCAATGCCTTTATTCCAGGTATGAAGGAGAAAGTGAACATTTCACCCTCAAGCTTTCCAAGACTCTCTGCATCCGATGAGCAGTCATTCCCCGCTTCTCCATCCTCCATCTCCCTGTCCACCTCTGAGCTGTCCCCGTCCTCCTCCGCCAACACCACTGCCCCCGAGGAGCCCTCTGACTGGGACACGTCCGCTGCCGCTGCCCCCTCCCCCTCAAGGCTGCTGGAGCCCAACAAGGCCAGAGGGCAGCAGCCTCACCACCACAGGGGACGCACCAGTCCCAACACCCTCCCCAAGAAGAGTGACTCCATCATGTCCCACAGCAACAAGCATGCTAGCCCCAAGAGAGCCACCAAAGCCCGGGCTGATACCAAGGAGCGCTCCCAGAGCCCCAGGAAAACAGACAGAGGAGACCGAGGCCAGGCAGGGACTGTTGAAAATAAGAACGGGTCTTTGGAGGGAGACCTAAGAAGGGAGAGGAAGGCCCACAGCCACGGCCAGAGAGAGGGCCGGGAGGGCAGAGAGGGACGCTCTTCCAGCCCCAGGAAGACTACCCCTAGGAGGGATCCAGACGCAGGAGTCTCCAGGCAGCCCTCGAAGGGCCAGGATGAGGGTCAGAGGCGCTCTGGAGGGCAGCAGCATCCCAGCTCCAACCCTGCCTCTGGAGAGGGCACGCAGGGGAGAGAGAGGAGAAGTAAGGAGGAGGACCCCACTCGCAGACAGGAGAGGGAGACCGGAAGTTCGGGAACCAGCGATCGCCACAGGAAAGAGAGGGGAGCGGAGCCTCATAGATCCCACTCCCAGACACAGAGGGAGAATGCATGGCCAGACTCTGAGGGCGGAACCCTGAATCGTAGAGAGGGAGGTCAGAGAGAGGGAAGAGAGAGGAAACACAGAGAGGCAGCGGAGGAGGAGAATCAGAGGGACACCAGTAGTGCTGCTAGCCAGGAGCACACATGTAACGGGAACCCTGGCAGTAAGAAATCGGCCACCATCACCCCAGGACCATGGAAGGTCCCCAGCTCAGCCAAGATCCACTCTCACGTGGAGGGAAACTGATGTATCGTAGACGGACTAACCCGTCCATAATAGATACAAACAAGGCTTCTACAGTTCTGCATTGACATGATATTTAGAATGGACCAATGAGGATTGTAGGGGATTGAGGTTATTTTGCATCACTGTGTTACTCCTCATAATCACATTGCCTCCTATTGCATATCAATGCTTATTTTCACAGTTTGCCTCAGCCAACCTTCCTACAGGCTGTCTTAATGTTCAAAGTGCAGACAGTTTATGGCTCTGCAGTGGCGGTGGGTGCCTGTCTGAAGATCTGGAGGATGTGAAGTACAATCTGTTTTGTGCCAATCAGAGACTCGGACATGCTGGGAGGGAGTTGGTTCATGTCATGTATCATCCTTTCTGTGAAACTCTTTTGTAGGTAATGAAAGGAGGCTTTGATGAAGGATGCTGTTTGTCACTCTGTATGAAGGTTTAAAAGATGGGCTCGTATCCAGGCATTCACTCAGCGTTTTGTGTTCCTCGTGGGATTGATCCACTGCTATGTCCCTGATGGATATATAAAGAGGTGATGGTGATTACTCCTTAAGTCACTGGGAGATGAAGGGGGTTGGGTTTTCAATCATTTTCTGTCCATATCCAGTCCAGACATGCTCTCTGTGTAGACTCTGAATCGCTGTTATTATCAGCTTTGCAGTAGATTTTAGATCATTAGGACAAAGCTTTATATGCATATCTATCTGAAGACCATACACTTGTGGTTAGGTATGTTGTTTACTTACTGCTACACGTGTGTTTATTATGAAGCATATTGTAATTTATTGAGATTAAATATGACAAAGAATATATATATATACTATCTACGTATCCATACACTATATTTTGATGTAGTGAGCTAAGCATAGAAATAGAATGTGTAGAAGAGACATAACCACTGAAGATGTACATTTGTTTTTTAGCCACATAGACACCTGTGGGAATACAAATATTGCTCATGACTACTGTGTTCTAGTGTACATTACATTACATATGCATCAATTTAACTGTGCCGCCATGTTGGATGAGCCATGTAAATTACATATGGACTACTAGATAATTGTGTTTGTCAGTATATGATCCCTAGACATTCTATTTCTATCCATTCCCAGCCCGTTCCCAGCCTATTCCATCCTTAATCCGTGATGTTGTTTATTGTATGCAGCTATTTAAGGTCCTCTGGCTAAATGTGTACACTACAAGCTGACAGGTATGTATTTTAGATATTGCTGTAGCTTTGACTGTACGTTATCTAATGTGTATTATTTAGCAAGGCGTTTCCTAATCTAAATGTGGGGGTAAATCAGCTGTATAAACAGATTGAAATTAAAAGGTGAGACCTTTGCATTTTTGTGACACCACAGTTTTTCATCAAAATGTGCTTTCAATTGTACGCCAGTCCAAGATGTTAATATTCAATAAATCTAAAGACTACAGTAATACCCAGGTAATACCAAACATATCCTGGTATATTCTGATACACTTTAGACTATAGTGCCCTCTCCTGGAGGAAGTAAAGAAACTATCAGAATCCCTGAACCCTGAGTGTCAGGACTTTACAACATAACATAATTTAAACAATTGTTATGATATAGCCTACTCTGTTTTAGGGCATCGATTATGTAGCAGCTTTGAAAAAGATCTACTAAGACCCTACGTTTGTGTGTCCAGCTTAAAGTCTGTTAAACAAAGCAATTTTCTCTTCCTAGCAACCATGGAAAACAAGGGACTCCATACTGTATTGAATTATGCACTCACAATATATGGAAATTAAATTAAAAGCTATTGACAAATAGATTAGTCAGTGTTGCTTGTCCTGTGGTGTAGCAAAATGTGAATTGAATTGTCTCTTGATAAAATCTTAGAGAAGGATACTGATTTTGATTAACTCTTCACCGTGATATATAGTTTCCCTTTTACATCCTATTGTTCATGTCACGTGTGTCTATATAATAATGTGGCCTTGCATTGCTTCAACAGAACAGCCTTTTTGTCTCTACATTATGTGGTAGTTGTAAATGTTTATAAATTGTACAGCACTGTATAAATACTTCCCTTCATTCAAAAAAAAAATATTGTAAATCGCTCTATTATTTTTTTAAGTAATTGAGGAGAAAATAAGGTGGTGAGAGGAAATAATCTGTTCATGCACTGATAAATAAAGTTTGAAAACATAAACATATTATTTTGTGTAAAGTGTATTTTATGGTACAATGAATCTATACCGTCTGCTGTAATAACCAGTGGTGGAAAAAGTACCCAATTTCCATACTTGAGTAAAAAGTAAAGATACCTTCATAGAAAATGACTAAAGTGAAAGTCACCCAGTAAAATACTACTTGAGTAAAAGTCTAAAAGTATTTGGTTTTAAATATACTTAAGTATCAAAAGTAAAAGTATAAATAATTTCAAATTCCTTATATAAAGCAAACAAGACTGCATCATTTTCTTATTTTAATTTTATTTACGGATAGCCAGGGGCATGCTCCAACACTCAGACATAATTTACAAACGAAGCATGTGTTTAGTGAGTCCGCCAGATCAGAGGCAGTAGGGATGACCAGGGATGTTCTCTTGATAAGTGTGTGAATTAGACAACAATTTTCCTGTCCTGCTAAGCATTCAAAATGTAAAAAGTACATTTGGGTGACAGGGAAAATGTATGGGGTAAAAAGTACATACTTTTCTTTAGGAATGTAGTGAAGTAAAAGAAGTCAAAAATATAAATAGTAAAGTACAGATACCAAAATAAAATACTTTTGTAAAAATACTTGAAAGTACTACTAAAGTACTTTACACCACTGGTAATAACTATGCAGCTTTATCTGCACATACAATATGCAGAATATAATGTTATTATAGAATCAATGTTTTAAGAAAAATATGAACTGCATAGAACAGACATAGCTCATTACGAAATTCAATTTGAAATGTTTTGAACAGTGCGCGCTATAGCCTACTGACTGTCTGTCCCGCGCTATCTGTCAGGGGCGCTCAGTTTATAAAAAACATTACGTCAGCTGTAATAGTGATTGCGTGCAGGGGCGCACGTATTGCCTAAAAGGGAACTTCAACTCCCATACAGCCCATGCAACTCGAAAACTACACAACCCGTAGAGCTCACATACTGAGCGTGCGCATCAGGTGCCGATAGACCAGAAAGGGTGGACAAACTGCAAATACAGGATCGCTGGATGCATACAAGAACTACAAATTCAGATCGAGTTGCGCAGTATGAATTTCTAGCCATTTAAATATACGTGCAAAATGGCTGCACAGGTCGACTTGGGCTGTATTAAAGTAGAAAATAAGGTAAGGGACAGTCTTGGTAAATTAGCCAAAGAAAAGAAGAAAAAAATCAAGAGGGAGCTGTCACCGTCAGCGGTTAAACGCCAGCGTTCATCCGAGAAGGAGGCAAAGAAAGTGAAGCTCCATCATCACCACCACCATCACCCACAACATGTTCAACAGCAGCGGATACACCAGCCGCATCAGAATGGCCAACCACGCAACTCCAGCACCGAAAAACCTACTCTGCATCACTACCACCAGCATTATCACCACCATCAGCACCACCACCACAACACCAAAGGCGCAAAGGACACGCACCCTCAACCTCCTCTGCCAGCGCAGAAGGTGGTACCCGCAGCAGCCAAGTTGGACACGAAAAAAAACCCGGTTCTGCCTCCTGTGCCGCCTGGACTGTTCACTTTCACGCCCCTCAAAGTGGCCAAGCCCAAGATACAGGAGAACAAGGAAAAGCACAGTGAGAAAGAGCTCAAACTCAAGAAGGAAAACACAGAGGCTAACGTGAAACATGGAGTAGGCCTATGTAAGAAAAATAAAGGTAGGTTATTCTTCATACATATTCTATTCCATTCTATTAATACTTAAAATGTCACCACTCTTAATTGCTTGAATCGTATGCAAACTTACAAATGAGTCAGACAAACAGACAAATCTGTTTCTATACACATTGAAAAGAAGCAGCCAGGTGATGTGCATGAATAGGTGATGATGTTTTGCATACTCGTAGTTGTGAACCAATTGCAATTTTGGTATGGACAAATGATGTGCATGGTAATGAGCTATCGTCTTCCTGCCTCCAGAGCCCCATCATGATGAGAACAGCCAGGCCCAGTCCCTGGAGGTGTACCTGTTGAGGAGGAAGAAGAAGAAGAGGCGGCGCCGTGAGGATGAGCGTGGTAAGAAGATCGGCACGTTCAACAAGGAGGTCCAGACTGTGTACGGAGGTCTGGCTGACCACAGTCCTTCAGCCCACCTTGGCCACATGAAGAAGGAGGGGAAACACTGCCAGCCTGCCACAGGCCCCAACAACCACCGCAGTCCTAAAGGGGTACACAGCCACAGCCACACCCACCCCCCCTTCCTCTCCCCCCAAGACCACTTCATCCGCAGCTCGTCTCTGCAGACAGGCACCGTCTATGGACGCTTCATCCACGAGGAGCGCCAGGCCAATGGTGGGGCGTCGGTCCTGCACGCCTATGCTGATGAGCTGGCCTCTTTACAGTCCGAGGAGATGGAGCGCTTCACCCAGGAGTTCCTAGAGCTTGCCTTCGCTGAGAGACCCAGAGGGGCAGCCCGCTATGCCCTGGCTGTGGTGCACGGGGCTGCTGCCTACCTACCTGACTTCCTGGACTACTTTGCCTTCAACTTCCCCTCCACGCCGGTCAAGATGGAGATCCTGGGGAAGAAGGATATAGAGACCACTACTATCGCGAACTTCCACTCTCAGGTATAGTATTAAAGCATCATGGAAATGGAGAGTCAGTGTCCTTCTGATATTGCCTGTATGGGACTTCATATTGTGTTTTGTCTTAGCTGACATTAAATATACTGGCAGTGGTCACCAATACTGGTCCTGGAGAGCTACAGGGTGGGCAGGCTTTTGTTCCAGCCCATCATCAACACCTCAACCAGCCTGATAAAGTGACCAACTGAATCAGGTGTTATAACTGTTTGGCTATGTTTCAACTCTTAGACAACAACAGTGCTTATCTAAGACAAAGTTATAAATGAGCTCAGTCTGTTTCCCTTCTAATAGTTGTTTCAGTCCAAAGTACACCAACGTTAAGTCTATAGCTGAACTCTTGCCAAGTTTTCCCTGTTGCTATGCTCCCTAGAGGCCTGATGGAGAGGCTTGTTCCATGACGTTTTACTGTTGTGTTTGACAGACCGATGGACACTCATAGGGCTGATAGCACTACACACACAGTTTATACAGTGCTCTGTGCAGTTTACACAGACAATTAGCCTAGTACTAATTTAATGCAGGTGTTCCACTGGAATATCCAAGGGCTACTAATGGGTTCAGGGGAGCTAAATGAATTCATGGTGAATGTTGCCTTTAGGGCACTGCTTGATTATGTCAAATCACATTTTATTTGTCACATGCGCCGAATACAACAGGTGTAGACCTTACAGTGAAATGTTTACTTACTTACAAGAAGGATTACTTTTATACTATTCCAGATATTCCTTAAAGAGGTAGGGTTTCAAGTGTCTCCGGAAGGTGGTCAGTGACTCCGCTGTCCTGGCGTCGTGGGGGAGGTTGGGGTGCTAGAGCAGCGAATAGCTTTGACTGGGCTGAGCGGGAACTGTGCTTCCGTAGAGGTAGGGGAGCTAGCAGGCCAGAGGTGGATGAATGTAGTGCCCTCGTTTGGGTGTAGGATCAGAGCCTGAAGGTAAGGAGGTGCCGTTCCCCTCACAGCTCCGTAGGCAAGCACCATGGTCTTGTAGTGGATGCGAGCCTCAACTGGAAGCCAGTGGAGTGTGCGGAGGAGCGGGGTGACGTGAGAGAACTTGGGAAGGTTGAACACCAGACGAACTGCAGCGTTCTGGATAAGTTGTAGGGGTTTAATGGCACAGGCAGGGAGCCCAGCCAACAGCGAGTTGCAGTAATCCAGACGGGAGATGACAAGTGCCTGGATTAGGACCTGTGCCGCTTTCTGTGTAAGGTAGGGTCGTACTCTGCGAATGTTGTAGAGCATGAACCTGCAGCATCGGGTCACTGCTTTGATGTTAGTGGAGAACGACAGGGTGTTGTCCAGGGTCACGCCAAGGTTCTTTGCACTCTGGGAGGAGGACACAATGGAGTTGTCAACCGTGATGGCGAGATCATGGAGCTGGCAGTCCTTCCCCGGGAGGAAGAGCAGCTCCGTCTTGCCGAGGTGGTGATCCGATATCCACACTGATATGTCTGCCAGACATGCAGAGATGCGATTCGCCACCTGGTTATCAAATTAATTGTGTGTCGTCTGCGGTACAGAGTCAGTGTGTGGTGGTACAGGTTAGTTGAGGTAATTGAGGTAATATGTACACTACCAGTCAAAAGTCTGGACACACCAACTCATTCAAGGGTTTGTCTTTATTTTTACTATTTTTTACATTGTAGAATAATAGTGAAGACATCAAAACTATGAAATCCAAACTATGAAATAAGAAATATGGAATTATGTAGCAACCAAAAAAGTGTTAAACAAATCAAAATATATGTTATATTTGAGATTCTTAAAATAGCCACCCTTTGCCTTGATGACAGCTTTGCACACTCTTGGCATTCTCTCAACCAGCTTCACCTGGAATGCTTTTCAACAGTCTTGATGGAGTTCCCACATATGCTGAGCACTTGTTGGCTGCTTTTCCTTCACTCTGCGGTCCGACTCCTCCCAAACCATCTCAACTGGGTTGAGGTCGGTGGATTGTGGAGGCCAGGTCATCTGATGCTGAGCTCCATCACTCTCCTTCTTGGTCAAATAGCCCTTACACAGCCTGGAGGTGTGTTGGGTCATTGTCCTGTTTTTGAAAAACAAATGATAGTCCAACTAAGCCCAAACCAGATGGGATGGCGTATCACTGTAGAATGCTGTGGTAGCCACGCTGGTTAAGTGTGCCTTGAATTCTAAATAAATCACATACAGTGTCACCTGCAAAACACCCCCACACCATAACACCACCTCCTCTATGCTTTACGGTGGGAAATACACATGCGGAGATCATCCGTTCACCCACACCGCGTCTCACAAAGACACGGCGGTTGGAGCCAAAAATCTCCAATTTGGACTCCAGACCATAGGACACATTTTCACCCGTCTGATGTCCATTGCTCGTGTTTCTTGGCCCAAGCAGGTCTTTTCTTATTATTGGTGTCCTTTAGTAGTGGTTTCTTTGCAGTAATTCAACCATGAAGGCCTGATTCACACAGTCCCCTCTGAACAGTTGATGTTGAGATGTGTCTGTTACTTGAACTCTGTGAAGCATTTATTTGGGCTGCAATTTCTGAGGCTGGTAACACTAATGAACTTATCCTCTGCAGCAGAGGTAACTCTGGGTCTTCCATTCCTGTGGCGGTCCTCATGAGAGCCAGTTTCATCATAGCGCTTGATGGTTTTTGCGACTGCACTTGAAACTTTAAAAGTTCTTGAAATGTTCCGTATTGACTGACCTTCATGTCTTAAAGTAATGATGGACAGTCGTTTCTCTTTCCTTATTTGAGCTGTTCTTGCCATAATATGGACTTCGTCTTTTACAAAATAGGGTTATCTTCTGTATACCCCCCTACCTTGTCACATCACAACTGATTGGCTCAAACGCATTAAGAAGGAAAGAAATTCCACAAATTAACTTTTAAGAAGGCACACCTGTTAATTGAAATGCATTCCAGGTGACTACCTCATGAAGCTGGTTGAGAGAATGCCAAGAGTGTGCAAGCTGTCATCAAGGCAAAGGGTGGCTATTTGCTCAAATATAAAATATATTTTGATTTGTTTAACACTATTTTGGTTACTACATGATTCCATATGTGTTATTTCATAGTTTTGATGTCTTCACTATTATTCTACAATGTAAAAAATAAAGAAAAACCCTGGAATGAGTAGGTGTGTCCAAACTTTTGACTGGTACTGTACATGTAGGTAGAGGTAAAGTGACTATGCATAGATAATAAACAGAGAGTAGCGGCAGCGTACAGTGAGGGGAAAAAAGTATTTGATCCCCTGCTGATTTTGTACGTTTGCCCACTGACAAAGACATGATCAGTCTATAATTTTAATGGTAGGTTTATTTGAACAGTGAGAGACAGAATAACAACAAAAAACAGAAAAACGCATGTCAAATATATTATAAATTGATTTGCATTTTAATGAGGGAAATAAGTATTTGACCCCCTCTCAATCAGAAAGATTTCTGGCTCCCAGGTGTCTTTTATACAGGTAACGAGCTGAGATTAGGAGCACACTCTTAAAGGGAGTATAAAAGACACCTGTCCACAGAAGCAATCAATCAATCAGATTCCAAACTCTCCACCATGGCCAAGACCAAAGAGCTCTCCAAGGATGTCAGGGACAAGATTGTAGACCTACACAAGGCTGGAATGGGCTACAAGACCATCGCCAAGCAGCTTGGTGAGAAGGTGACAACAGTTGGTGCGATTATTCGCAAATGGAAGAAACACAAAAGAACTGTCAATCTCCCTCGGCCTGGGGCTCCATGCAAGATCTCACCTCGTGGAGTTGCAATGATCATGAGAACGGTGAGGAATCAGCCCAGAACTACACAGGAGGATCTTGTCAATGATCTCAAGGCAGCTGGGACCATAGTCACCAAGAAAACAATTGGTAACACACTACGCCGTGAAGGACTGAAATCCTGCAGCGCCCGCAAGGTCCCCCTGCTCAAGAAAGCACATATACAGGGCCGTCTGAAGTTTGCCAATGAACATCTGAATGATTCAGAGGAGAACTGGGTGAAAGTGTTGTGGTCAGATGAGACCAAAATCGAGCTCTTTGGCATCAACTCAACTCGCCGTGTTTGGAGGAGGAGGAATGCTGCCTATGACCCCAAGAACACCATCCCCACCGTCAAACATGGAGGTGGAAACATTATGCTTTGGGGGTGTTTTTCTGCTCAGGGGACAGGACAACTTCACCGCATCAAAGGGATGATGGACAGGGCCATGTACCGTCAAATCTCGGGTGAGAACCTCCTTCCCTCAGCCAGGGCATTGAAAAACACACGGCCAAGGCAACAAAGGAGTGGTTCAAGAAGAAGCACATTAAGGTCCTGGAGTGGCCTAGCCAGTCTCCAGACCTTAATCCCATAGAAAATCTGTGGAGGGAGCTGAAGGTTTGAGTTGCCAAACGTCAGCCTCGAAACCTTAATGACTTGGAAAAGATCTGCAGAGGAGTGGGACAAAATCCCTCCTGAGATGTGTGCAAACCTGGTGGCCAACTACAAGAAACGTCTGACCTCTGTGATTGCCAACAAGGGTTTTGCCACCAAGTACTAAGTCATGTTTTGCAGAGGGGTCAAATACTTATTTCCCTCATTAAAATGCAAATCAATTTATAACATTTTTGACGTGTGTTTTTCTGGATTTTTTTGTTGTTATTCTGTCTCTCACTGTTCAAATAAACCTACCATTAAAATTATAGACTGATCATTTCTTTGTCAGTGGGCAAACGTACAAAATGCAAATAGTGCGGGTAGCCATTTGGTCAGCTCTTCAGGAGTCTTATGGCTTGGGGGTAGAACTGCTAAGAAGCCTTTTGGATTATATTGCACAAACTAGCATTATGTAAATGTTGGAAAGCCTTGCATGGCTCCATACTCACCAAATCATGCAGCCGGGTCAGTGTTAATCCAATATCCTAATGACATATCCTAAGACCAATGCATGTTGGCATTACAGTCATTTCAGATTTAGCCAAATCAATATAACCTCTCCCCCTCTGTGTGTCTGTAGGTGGGTCGGACCTACTGCTCGGGGACGTACCGGGCCGGTCCTATGAGACAGATCAGTCTGGTGGGAGCCATGGCTGAGGAGGTGGGGGACTACTTCCCAGAGTTCCTGGACATGCTGGAGGAGTCCCCCTTTCTAAAGGTCAGTCAGATGGAAAAGGCAGGGATGATTTTTCTTAGAATTCAACCTATGATTAACAAATGTAGTGTCGTTGGATTCAGTTTTACAGGCCTACTGGCCTTGCAAGTAGTTTAGAACATACACTGAACAAAAATATAGATGCAACGTGCAACAATTTCAAAGATTTTACAGAGTTACAATTCATATTAGGAAATCAGTCAATTGAAATCAATTCATTAGACCATAATCTATGGATTTCACATGACTGGGAATACAGATTTGCATCTGTTGGTCTCAGATACCTTTAAAAAATAGGTAGGGGCGTGGATCAGAAAACCTGTCAGTATCTGGTGTGACCACCTTTTGCCTCATGCAGAGTGACACATCTCCTTCGCGTGGAGTTGATCAGGCTGTTGATTTTGGCCTTTGGAATGTTGTCCCACTCCAATGGATGTGCGAAGTTGCTGGATATTGGCGGGAACTGGAACACGCTGTTGTACACATCGATCCAGAAAATCCCATGTCTGGTGAGTATGTAGGCCATGGAAGAACTGGGACATTTTCAGCTTCCAGGAATTGTGTACAGATCCTTGCGACATGGGGCCGTGCATTATCATGCTGAAACAGGAGGGGATGGTGGCGGATGACTGGCACAACAATGGGCCTCAGGATCTCGTCACGGTATCTCTGTGCATTCAAACTGCCATTGATAAAATGCAGTTGTGTTCGTTGAAATCAGCAAACTGCTCACCCACGCGATGCCATACACGTGGTCTGCGGTTGTGAGGCCGGTTGGCTGTACTGCCAAATTCTCTAAAACGACGTTGGAAGCGTCTTGTGGTAGAGAAATTAACATTACATTCCTGCAGTCAGCATGCCAATTGCACGCTCCCTCAAATCATGAGACAACTGTGGCATTGTGACACAAAACTGCACATTTTAGAGTGGCCTTTTATTGTCCCCAGCACATGGTGCACCTGTGTAATGATCATGCTGTTTAATCAGCTTCTTGATATGCCACACCTGTCAGGTAGATGGATTATCTTGGCAAAGTAGAAATGCTCACTAACAGGGATGTAAACACATTTGTGCACAAAATTTGAGAGAAATAAGCTTTTTGTGCGAATGGAAAAGGGATTCTGGGATCTTTTATTTCAGCTCATGAAACATGGGACCAACACTTAACTACATGTTACGTTTATATTTTTGTTCAGTGTACATGTATTCATTTTATGCTTTTGTGCATACAGTACATATAATTGACAGACAAAGTGAGACAGAAAAGGTTGTTGCTTGTAATTTGTGTCTTAATGTGTGTATCTTGAATTACTCCGAATCTGCTATGTGTATTACAGTATATGATTGCTGCTCTAACCCTCTGTGTCTTGTCCATCCAGATGACCCTGCCTTGGGGCAGTCTCTCCAGCCTGAAGCTGGACTGTCGTTCCCAGAGTGATGATGGACCCATCATGTGGGTCCGGCCGGGCGAGCAGATGGTGCCAACCGCTGACATGCCCAAGTCTCCCTTCAAACGGCGCAGGTAGATCCCAGGACAATACTTTTATCATAGTAATACATACAGTATAAGCCTATTTATACACTGAGTGTACAAAACATTAAGAACACCTTCCTAATATTGAGTTGCACCCCCCCTTTTGCCCTCAGAACAGCCTCAATTCGTCAGGGCATGGACTCTACAAGGTGTCGAAAGCATTCCACAAGGATGCTGGCCCATGTTGACTCCAATGCTTCCCACAGTTGTTTCAAGTTGGCTTGTGTGGTGGACCATTCTTGATATACACGGGAAACTGTTGAGCGTGAAAAACCAAGCAGCGTTGCAGTTTTTGACACAAAATGGTGGGCATGGCACCTACTACCATACCCCGTTCAAAGGCACTTAAATATTTAGTCTTGCCCATTCACCCTCTGAATGGCACACATACACAATCCATGTCTCAAGGCTTGAAAATCTTTCTTTAAAATGTCTCCTACCCTTCATTACATTTACATTTTACATTTTAGTCATTTAGCAGACGCTCTTATCCAGAGCGACTTACAGGAGCAATTAGGGTTAAGTGCCTTGCTCAAGGGCACATTAACGTCATTTAGCAGACGCTCTTAGCCAGAGCGACTCACAAATTGGTGCGTTCACCCTATAGCCAGTGGGATAACCACTTTACAATTTGGGGGGGGGGGGGGTTAGAAGGATTGCTTTATCCTATCCCAGGTATTCCTTAAAGAGGTGGGGTTTCAAATGTCTCCGGAAGGTGGTGAGTGACTCCGCTGTCCTGGCGTCGTGAGGGAGCTTGTTCCACCATTGGGGTGCCAGAGCAGCGAACAGTTTTGACTGGGCTGAGCGGGAGCTATGCTTCCGCAGAGGAAGGGGAGCCAGCAGGCCAGAGGTGGATGAACGCAATGCCCTCGTTTGGGTGTAGGGACTGATCAGAGCCTGAAGGTACAGAGGTGCCGTTCCCCTCACTGCTCCATAGGCAAGCACCATGGTCTTGTAGCGGATGCGAGCTTCAACTGGAAGCCAGTGGAGTGTGCGGAGGAGGGGGGTGACGTGAGAGAACTTGGGAAGGTTGAACACCAGACGGGCTGCGGCATTCTGGATGAGTTGTAGGGGTTTAATGGCACAGGCAGGGAGGCCAGCCAACAGCGAGTTGCAGTAGTCCAGACGGGAGATGACAAGTGCCTGGATTAGGACCTGTGCCGCTTCCTGTGTAAGGCAGGGTCGTACTCTCCGAATGTTGTAGAGCATGAACCTGCAGGAGCGGGTCACCGCCTTGATGTTGGCGGAGAACGACAGGGTGTTGTCCAGGGTCACGCCTAGGCTCTTCGCACTCTGGGAGGAGGACACAGCGGAGTTGTCAACCGTGATGGCGAGATCATGGAACGGGCAGTCCTTCCCCGGGAGGAAGAGCAGCTCCGTCTTGCCAGGGTTCAGCTTGAGGTGGTGATCCGTCATCCATACTGATATGTCTGCCAGACATGCAGAGATGCGATTCGCCACCTGGTTATCAGAAGGGGGAAAGGAGAAGATTAGTTGTGTATCGTCAGCGTAGCAATGATAGGAAAGGCCATGTGAGGATATGACAGAGCCAAGTGACTTGGTGTATAGGGAGAAAAGGAGAGGGCCTAGAACTGAGCCCTGGGGGACACCAGTGGTGAGAGCACGTGGTGCGGAGACAGCTTCTCGCCACGCCACTTGGTAGGAGCGACCGGTCAGGTAGGACGCAATCCAGGAGTGAGCCGCGCCGGAGATGCCCAGCTCGGAGAGGGTGGAGAGGAGGATCTGATGGTTCACAGTATCAAAAGCAGCAGACAGGTCTAGAAGGACAAGAGCAGAGGAGAGAGAGTTAGCTTTAGCAGTGCGGAGAGTCTCCGTGACACAGAGAAGAGCAGTCTCAGTTGAATGACCAGTCCTGAAACCTGATTGGTTTGGATCAAGAAGGTCATTCTGAGAGAGATAGCAAGAGAGTTGGCTAAAGACGGCACGCTCAATAGTTTTGGAAAGAAAAGAAAGAAGGGATACTGGTCTGTAGTTGTTGACATCAGTGGGGTCGAGTGTTGGTTTTTTGAGAAGGGGAGCAACTCTCGCTCTCTTGAAGACGGAAGGGACATGGCCAGCGGTCAAGGATGAGTTGATCAGCGAGGTGAGGTAGGGGAGAAGGTCACCGGAGATGGTCTGGAGAAGGGAGGAGGGGATGGGGTCAAGCGGGCAGGTTGTTGGGCGGCCTGCAGTCACAAGTCGCAGGATTTTATCTGGAGAGAGAGGGGAGAAAGAAGTCAAAGCATAGGGTAGGGCAGTGTGAGCAGGACCAGCAATGTCATTAGACTTAACAAACGAGGATCGGATGTCGTCAACCTTCTTTTCAAAGTGGTTGACGAAGTCATCCACAGAGAGAGAGGAGGGGTGGGGGGGGGGGGGGGAGGATTCAGGAGGGAGGAAAATGTGGCAAAGAGCTTCCTAGGGTTAGAGGCAGATGCTTGGAATTTAGAGTGGTAGAAGGTGGCCTTAGCAGCAGAAACAGATGAAGAAAATGTAGAGAGGAGGGAGTGAAAAGATGCCAGGTCGGCAGGGAGTTTAGTTTTCTTCCATTTCCGCTCCGCTGCCCGGAGCTCTGTTCTGTGAGCTCGCAATGAGTCATCAAGCCACGGAGCTGGAGGGGAGGACCGAGCCGGCCGGGAGGATAGGGGACACAGAGAGTCAAAGGATGCAGAAAGGGAGGAGAGGAGGGTTGAGGAGGCAGAATCAGGAGATTGGAGGGAGAAGGATTGAGCAGAGGGAAGAGATGATAGGATGGAAGAGGAGAGAGTAGTGGGAGAGAGAGAGCGAAGGTTGCGGCGGCGCATTACCATCTGTGTAGGGGCAGAGTGAGTAGTGTGGGAGGAGAGCGAGAGAGAAAAGGAAACAAAGTAGTGGTCGGAGACATGGAGGGGAGTTGCAGTGAGATTAGTAGAGGAGCAGCATCTAGTGAAGATGAGGTCAAGCGTATTGCCTGCCTTGTGAGTAGGGGGGGACGGTGAGAGGGTGAGGTCAAAAGAGGAGAGGAGTGGAAAGAAGGAGGCAGAGAGAAATGAGTCAAATGTGGACATAGGGAGGTTGAAATCCCCCAAAACTGTGAGGGGTGAGCCATCCTCAGGGAAGGAACTTATCAAGGCGTCAAGCTCATTGATGAACTCTCCAAGGGAACCTGGAGGGCGATAGATGACAAGGATATTAAGCTTAAATGGGCTAGTGACTGTGACAGCATGGAATTCAAATGAGGAGATAGACAGAAGGGTTAGGGGAAAAATTGAGAATGTCCACTTGGGAGAGATTCCTGTACCACCACCCCTCTGACCAGATGCTCTCGGGGTATGCGAGAACACATGGTCAGACGAGGAGAGAGCAGTAGGAGTAGCAGTGTTTTCAGTGGTGATCCATGTTTCCGTCAGCGCCAGGAAGTCGAGGGACTGGAGGTTGGCATAGGCTGGGATGAAGTCAGCTTTGTTGGCAGCAGAACGGCAGTTCCAGAGGCTGCCTGCGACCTGGAACTCCACGTGGGTGGTGCGTGCAGGGACCACCAGGTTAGAGAGGCAGCAGCCACGCGGTGTGGTGCGTTTGTGTAGCCTGTGCAGAGAGGAGAGAACAGGGATAGGCAGAGGCATAGTTGACAGGCTGTAGCAAATGGCTACAAAAATGCAGAGGAGATCGGAATGAAATGAGCTAAGCATCTGGGAGAAGAGAGAGCAGGGCCTCCCTCACCAAAAACTTCTACCTCAGAAACTAAAATTGTTTCACTGAACCACCCGAGCAAAAACTCTCCCAACTTCCACCTTTAGAAATCAGAATTGTTGTGAACCACAGCGGTTCAATGTTTAAAGGAATAGACTCAACCCACTTGATTCAGCTAGCCAACTATGACACCATAGCTAACTAGCAAGCTAGCATCCAATAACAATAACACACCGTTTAGCACCAACACTTGGTCACAACAAACCACCAATAGTGTGATAACACACTAAACAGATCATTCGTGTCTGTGTCAAGTTCCTTTCATGACGCAGCAATGATTAGACGTTGGCTAGCTAGGACAAGTATATTGTATTTAGCTACTACCGTACAGTTAGCTGGTCGTGTTGGGTAGCTAGCAATGGCCACTGTGTTGACTTTGTTTGAAGAACGGCTAGCTAGCTAGCTTCGTGCTACACCCGGCACACAATGGCTATTGTGTTGACTCTGACTCTGTTCGAAAAAAACGGCTAGGTAGCTCGCTTCGTGCTACAGCCGGCACGGCCGAAGACACTGCCAAGACACAGTAACTACCCACGACAACCCACGATGCCTAGCTATGACGCCGTAGCTAACTAGCAAGCTAGCATCCATTAACACACAATTTAGCACCAATACTTGGTTACAACAAACTGCCAAGAGTGTGTTAGCACACTAAACAGATAATTCAAGTCCGTGTCTAGTTCCTTTCATAACGCATAACGCAGCAAAAAATTAAACGTTGGCTAGCAGCACATTAACATTGGAAACAGCTCTCTAGCGTTGCTAATCGTTACCAGTAGCTACCCGCTAGCTAGCTAGCCTCGTGCTTCGATACTAACCTACAATTACCTACGGAAACCTACAATAACAACAATACTAACCTATAATAAATACAATACCTAACTACAGCTAACTACCTACCTACGATCTAATACATGGTTAAGCTTTACTCAACACCATATGAGAAGCTTATTAGTTCATGCACACATTAGCAAAACCTTACGCAACAGAAAACAAAAACAAGTATTTCTTATTGGACAAGTTCAGGTAGTCCCTTCACGTTCATTACTAGTAAATACGACCCTGGAGAGGGGAAACAGCACATTGCCCTCAGTTTCCAGAGGACTGTTCACACAACAGCGCACTGAGTTCCATGATTGTCTTCACATTCCCGAGGAAATACTGTGAGCGCAAGGATGGGTTCATCTACACTGATCTACACTGATTTGAAGTAGATTTAACAAGTGACATCAATAAGGAATCATAGCATTCAGCTGGATTCACCTGGTCAGTCTGTAATGTTATGTATAGTCAGTGTAGTTTTCCAGAGTTCAGGATCATTCATTAGTTTAGCTCTGCTTTGCCCTTCTAGCCATGACGTCATTACAACCTGCCTTACCCTCTGGGCAGCTTCGGCTATGCCTCACTGCTGGTGGTAGTACTACCTGCTCTCTCTCTCCTCCCTGCAGGTCCATGAATGAGATAAAGAACCTTCACTACCTGCCTAGGACCAGTGAGCCCAGAGAGGTGCTGTTTGAGGATCGGACCAGGGCTCATGCTGACCACGTGGGCCAGAGCTTCGACTGGCAGAGTACCGCAGCAGTGGGTGTGCTGAAGGCGGTGCAGTTTGGAGAGTGGTGGGTTTCTACTGTAGTTTGGGGAATGATGATGAGTGTTTATGAAGTGTTCGGCATTCATTCGGCTCTGCTCTCAGCTGCAGTTTGAATGTACTTGTTGAAGAATTCCAGTTTGGGAAGCTTCATCCAGGGTTACTGTTGTCATAAAGGATGCCTGTTATTTGTTAAACCACTTTGAGTCTTCCACACTGAATCAACATTTATTTAGGTGTGATCCATATGTCCGGTGAGCTAACTATTGTGGTGAGCTAACTATTGTGGTGAGCTAACTATTGTGGTGAGCTAACTATTGTGGTGAACTAACTGTTGTGATGAACAAACTATTGTGATGGTTCTTTGATCAACAGGAGTGAGCGTCCGAGGATAACCAAAGACGCGGTGTGTTTCCACGCGGAGGACTTTAACGATGTGGTCCAGAGGCTGCAGCTGGATCTGTACGAGCCCCCTGTGTCTCAGGTAGGAACTGAGCTCTTATTGAACCTTGAACATGTTAGGGTGATGCATGATTCTCCTCTGTGTGGTATGATAGCTGGTCAAATGTCAGATTTTGATGCAAAAAGCCTTGGAGGAGATGACATACGCCATTTAGTGAGTTAGTTTAGAGCTTTAATTAGCAGAACGAGAGGCTTAATTTTGGCCACAGAGAATGACCAGATCTGTATGATCTTCATTTTCAAGAGTTAGTAGTGATGGCCTTGATACCAGGCATGTCAGGCTTACTTCGTATGTTTGGGAAGGATCATGTCTTTGGCCGAAACATTGACACAATGAACAACATGCAGAGGTAATATGGTGTTTGTGGGAGTTATCCTTTTTTTTACAATGAGGAGAAATTAGGAGGATCAGGTAGGCCTACCCATAATCCTCATCTCCCTGCAGTGTGTCCAGTGGGTGGACGATGCCAAGCTGAACCAGCTGAGGCGGGAGGGCATCCGCTATGTCCGCGTGCAGCTGTGTGACGACGACATCTACTTCATCCCCCGGAATGTTATCCACCAGTTCAAGACTGTCTCGGCAGTCTGCAGCCTGGCCTGGCACATCCGCCTCAGACAGTACCATGAGGAGAAGGACGGGGGGGAGCATGCCCAACACAAGCCCAACAACCAGACCATAACATCCGGTCAAATATTTTCATCCTCCCTCTCCCCAGCCCAGCCAGATGCCAAAGTGCTCCACTGCGCTGGTCCACCACAGAGAGACAGGACCCAGGGAGGGGTGGCCAAGACAGAGGAACTGGTGTTTCAGAGGCCTGCTACTCCACCCAGAGAGCCCCAACCAGCCCCTCCTCAGCCTGCCAAGTCTGCCCACCTGCCACCTCCCTACCCGGGCATCAGCCCCCTGCCACCTGTCTCCTCTGGTTCTGGTTCTAACCCTCCCACACTGGAGCCCAGGCTTCCACAGGCCCTGGTCCGGCCTCCCCCTGGTCTAGACTACAACTCACCCCGACCCCACCATGATGTACAGCGTCACTGCCCCACTGACTTCCTCAAATGACCTGCCCTCCCCTTTACTCCTTTACCTACAGTTGAAGTCAGAAGTTTACATACACTTAGGTTGGAGTCATTAAAACTTGTTTTTCAACCACTCCCACAAATTTCTTGTTAACAAACTATAGTTTTGGCAAGTCAGTTAGGACATCTACTTTGTGCATGACACAAGTAATTTTTTCCAACAATTGTTTACAGACAGATTATTTCACTTATAATTCACTGTATTACAATTCCAGTGGGTCAGAAGTTTACATACACTGTTGACTGTGCCTTTAAACAGCTTGGAAAATTCCAGAAAAGGATGTCATGGCTTTAGAAGCTTCTGATAGGTTAATTGACATCATTTGAATCAATTGGAGGTGTACCCGTGGATGTATTTCAAGGCCTACCTTCAAACTCAGTGCCTCTTTGCTTGACATCATGGGAAAATCAAAAGAAATCAGCCAAGACCTCAGAAAAAACATTGTAGACCTCCACAAGTCTGGTTCATCCTTGGGAGCAATTTCCAAATGCCTGAAGGTACCACGTTAATCTGTACAAACAGTAGTATGCAAGTATAAACACCATGGGACCACACAGCCGTCATACCGCACAGGAAGGAGACGCGTCTCCTAGAGATGAACGTACTTTGGTGCGAAAAGTGCAAATCAATCCCAGAACAACAGCAAAGGACCTTGTGAAGATGCTGGAGGAAATAGGGACAAAAGTATCTATATCCACAGTAAAACGAGTCCTATATCGACATAACCTGAAAGGCCGCTCAGCAAGGAAGAAGCCACTGCTCCAAAACTGCCATCAAAAAGCCAGACTACGGTTTGCAACTGCACATGGGGACAAAGATCGTACTTTTTGGAGAAATGTCCTCTGGTCTGATGAAACAAAAATAGAACTGTTTAGCCATAATGACCATCGTTATGTTTGGAGGAAAAAGGGGGTTGCTTGCAAGCCGAAGAACACCATACCAACCGTGAAGCACAGGGGTGGCAGCATCATGCTGTGGGGGTGCTTTGCTGCAGGAGGGACAGGTGCACTTCACAAAATAGATGGCATCATGAGGAAGGAAAATTATGTGGATATATTGAAGCAACATCTCAAGACATCAGTCAGGAAGTTAAAGCTTGGTCGCAAATGGGTCTTCCAAATGGACAATGACCCCAAGCATACTTCCAAAGTTGTGGCAAAATGGCTTAAGGACAACAAAGTCAAGGTATTGGAGTGGCCATCACAAAGCCCTGACCTCAATCCTATAGAACATTTGTGGGCAGAACTGAAAAAGCGTGTGCGAGCAAGGAGGCCTACAAACCTGGCTCAGTTACACCAGCTCTGTCAGGAGGAATGGGCCAAAATTCACCCAACTTATTGTGGGAAGCTTGTGGAAGGCTACCCAAAACATTTGACCCAAGTTAAACAATTTAAAGGCAATGTTACCAAATACTAATTGAGTGTATGTAAACTTCTGACCCACTGGGAATGTGATGAAAGAAATAAAAGCTGAAATAAATCATTCTCTCTACTATTATTCTGACATTTCACATTCTTAAAATAAAGTGGTGATCCTAACTGACCTAAGACAGGGAATGTTTACTAGGATTAAATGTCAGGAATTGTGAAAAACTGAGATTAAATGTATTTGGCTAAGGTGTATGTAAACTTCCGACTTCAACTGTACTTTACCCTCTACGGTAGAGGAGCTTATTTAAAGGAGTGCAACTGTGTGCATTTATGATTGATATTCCTATGTAAAAAAAGATATTGTTCTTGACATTTTTGAATTTATTCCTTTTAAATTATTCAGACTATAATGTATTGTTTTTATGTGTAAATGCAGTTTGAGACAAGCCCAGATTTTTTTTCTCAGCCAAAGTGTGTAATGTACATTTAGAAACATTTGTCAGAAAAGAGTCCAGTGTTGTTTTAAATCTGTTTGTAGTAACTGAAACTGAGATCCCTCTGGGTAGTTTCCTAACCTTTTTCATGAGTTACCGAAGCAACTCGCATTACCAGTCAAGATAGAGTACCAAGGTGTGTATCATGTACATTGCCTAATTGGTTTTTAGAGAAAAGTGCCTGTCACTTCATAAAGAACACGTTTTCCCATCTCAAGAGGTTAAATAAAAATAATAATATAGTAAGTGCCTATTAAGTGCGAAATAAAGTAACAGGGTTGACCGTAACAGGGTTGACGATTTCAACTTTAAATCAGCCATAAATCCCCTTGTGACAGGGGGAATGGAAGCAGTTGCAACTGAATGCAAGTTTCCCCCAAAACATTTTTTTGTAAACATCCTAGCCTGTCTATCAATTGGTTCAGGGTTGAGGTGTGATGCTCGACCCGTTCAGTTTTCCACCGCAAAACTCCAGAAAAAGCAGGCACCTGCTTTTTCAACTATGATTTGATTATTAGATGTTCAGTGTTTCTTTTGAAAAAAAGTTTTAAAAAGGAATAATTTCATCATATTTAAACAAGAGTTCAGTTCACGTAACTGGGTTGACCTTAAAATGAGGGACAGACATAAAGGAATCTGTAATCACATGAAATAAATAATAATCGTCAGAAATGACTTTGTCAAAGCAACAAAAAAGCTAGGGCTTTACAATGATGGTGGAAACTTGGAGAAAGTTTGGGTATAAGTGGGTTAAAATCTTCCTAAAAGTGACACAGGGTTGACAGAGGGACATGTCAAAAGGCTGAATGTTAGCACTTTAGCAAGTCTTTATTCATATTAAGAAAACAGATTTATTGAATTCTCCATATTGTCTATATTAAAGGGCACTTGTTTGAATATAATAGGATTTTACTAATTCTATATTGGTGCGCAATTTCTACTTAAAGTATTTAGTGGAACGACACAGCTATGGTTTCTTTTGACCTTTGTCATATTCTACTGTGGTGTGTAGTCTGCCTGATGACCAAGGCATGCTATGTGTAGTGTTAATACAAATAATGACTGTTGTTGATGTTTGTATTTTAATTAATGATCTAGATTTTTTTTTACTATGTTGTGTGAACAAAAAGTCAAGACAGCTTTTTGGTAAAAATAATAAGTTACATTTAATAGAATTCTGTTATTAAAAGTGTGATCAGTCATGTAAATTGAGTTGAGAAAACACAATGGAATGCATAAAATAAATAACTGTATGCCAGTACTATGTATGAAACATCTGAGTGACATTACTTTTGTAAGCATTATAGAGAAGAAATCTGTGATCCTCATAAATGGGTACATTTTAGAGCAATAGGTATTGGCTTTGCTTTTAAATTATAGCCCATATAGAAAACACATCCACCAACTTACAACAATGAATGTTATGTACATACAGTACCTGTCTGCTTATCCCACACCTCCATGAAAAATATTACCGGTACAAATATATTTATCCTAAAAATAGTTGTCCCATCGTGGTGGGTAACGTTCACACTGAACAGTGTAGATCCTGATTATGTCTAGATCAAAAGTAGCCTATACAAGCAAACAAACAAAATCAAACAACAGCATATAAAACTATTTTGGTAACATGTATCAAGTCTTACCAACAATTCAAAGTACCTTACAGTATTTGTCCAGGCAAAATAGTCAAAAGTAACCCTCTCTTAAACATATTTATTAACTCATCCATCCTTTGCCAATGTTTGATTGCGACCTTCGCAACCATAGTACAATCAATTTGTCATGAATAGCAGGTGCTTCTGTACAAAGCTCATCAGAGGTTGATCACCGGGCCATAACAACAGTTTGAGAAACAATGTTTGTGTCCTTCCAGAATCGATGGAGAGCGAGAATGCTACAGTACAGTGTCATCCTCCATGTCTTCATGGAAAACTCTTCCTTCACACTGTGATAATTCCTCTGGGAACTGTCACTAGTCTCACTAGAAAATGACACAGGAGTTGGCAAAACAGCATAAACAGGCCTGGGACCAGACTATCACTAGTTCAGTTGAGTAGCCAGTATCGAGTAGCCACATGCAGGGTTCCAGCGCTGTGATCTCAGGACAGTGGCCAGACATGTCCAGCTTTGTTGACTGGCTGTCTTAAAACCACGTCTCAGGGTGACTCCTTGGCCCTTTAGGCTTCCCAAAACGACTCCCAAATCCTGGAGAGGGAACAGACTTTGTGAGACTGTTTGTGATTCTTTATGATACTTTGAGAGACTTTTGAATTAAAATGACTATTGATGTTTAATGAGATTTGCATGGATCTCTTTTGAGAATGCTTACCAAATTTGAACATTGATGATGAGGCAGAGGCACCATAAGGAAGAGGTGATCCAGAGTGGGTTGTTGCTGGTGGGGGGGCTGTCTTTGCTGTGGGTGGGAAGAATGTGTTACTATTTTAACTAGTAGAGGTACACTAGAGGTGGGAAATGTATGTTCCAGACAGCAGATCCATTTACAGAGCTCTGTTACTTACGTTTCTGTTTGTGCTTGAAGAACTTCAGGCTCTGAAAAAGAAAAACAGAGACTGCTGGCTTTAGATGATAAGACATAGGGGGAGAGTGGGGTAAGTTGAGCCAAAGGGGTAAGTTGAGCGACCCATGTTTCTAGGAAACCATACACAAAATTAAGACTGTGAAGGAAGAAACCACGTGGAAAAAGTGGCAAGCAAGTTAAGTAAAAAAAACAGATTTTCACTAAGTCAAATGAATTTGTGTTAGATGTTTCATGATGCTTGTATCTAAACCAAAGTAGATAATTTAAAGATTGTTCTATATATCAGTTGGGGTCTCCATATGCTTCGATATGAGGTCCTAAAGCTAGCATGAAAGTGCATAATTTTAGCTGTGTGGGCTAATATATATTTTTTGGGCCTTCAGGTAAGTTGAGCCAATGGTTGAGCCAATGGCAAGTTAAGAAAATGTAAGTGTTTGTTAGGTGTTAAGCCTAAAATGATTAAAAGACAAAAAAGCAATTGTGATTGTGTTGAATTGTGTTTGGGAAATAAAGATAGACATGGTTTTAAAAAGGTAGTGGTAATATTTCATTCAGCACAGACATTTGTAGGAGGCTTAACTTACTCTGTCTCGCGGCTCAACTTACCCAATACCCGAGGTAAGTTGTGCCAAGAGGCCACTTTTTGGAAAAGCTATGTTTTAAAAACTGTAATTTCTACATGAATTCTGATTTATCTCCAGGGTTACACAACATCCTGAAATATATGTACATATCTTTGTTTCAAAGAATACTATATTTCCCTTGACGGAGTGATGCTGAATGTAGAAAATGGCTTAACTTACCCCACTCTCCCCTACTCAGATAATAGCACAGTATAGAAACACCAGATCCTCTATTTTTTAACCAATAGATCAAGTCTGTCAGTTACTGTAATTCTATGTACATAGCCATTACCTTTGTTCTAGACATGCCCTTCCCACTGTTCTTGTCTGATTTGTTCTCAGTAGTCCCAGAGCTGGTTGAGGTGCTGTTGACCACAGGCTGCTGATGCTCCATCTCAGCTGAGAAACAGTCGTCAGATGTTTCACAGTTATGGAGCCATTTAAAAAAAGTTAAATTCAATATCATCAAGAGTCATGACTAAATGGGAATAGGGCGGATGGTTGGATTAGTGTGATTTGAATACTCTTAATAAGGAGAGAGGTCAGATTTACATGGGCCTGTGTGTAGTTAGTGAGACAGAGTTGATAGTTGTAATTGCGGGTCTATGTTCTGTGTTGCAACTCACCACTTCCTCCTGTCACCGAGGCCACAACGGCTGGAGTAACCAGATGAACAGTAGTCAGGTGCTCTATACAGGAAACAGACAGAGATTAATCAACATGCCAGGGTTGTGGGTTCGATTCCCACGGGGGGCCAGTATGAAAAAAAATATATATATAATGTATGCACTCACTAACTGTAAGTCACTCTGGATAAGAGCGTCTGCTAAATGACTAAAATGTAAATGTAAATGTTTTGAGTCACACAACACTGGCCCCGAAATCATCACCAACAGACGAACATGAATGTACTGGGCCTTTGTTCTCTTAAACATCAGGTAGCTCAAGACCACCCTCCATTGGCTTGAAGGAGTACCTCTGTAATCTTTACACTGACATTAGTGCTCATCATCTTGACTTCCTATTTTGATAGGAGCAGCTTCTGTATAATGACTCTATTCAATGATCCCTATTAGGGCATTTTATTGTGTGAGGGAGTAGAGCCCAGAGCAACCATTTTAGGTTGACTGAAGTTGACTTAGTCCTTGTTAACGCCAAACAGACAGGCTTGACCGATAGCAGAAGAAGAAGGAAACAACCTCAGATGGCTTCTCTGTCAGTACTGTAAAGATAGCTTACCTTGCCGTGAACTCTTTGCTCGGACACTCTGAGGGAACAGTTTACAGTGTCGTGTTAATGTACTAAAGTATAAACAACAACCAGAACATCTGAGTCATAGCATGAATCACAAGGAAGACAAAAATGCTTAGGGATTTTTATATCTCTAAAGGGCATTTAGGAAAGATGAGTTCATCTGTGACACAAAGGGGTGGGTGGCAGCATCCTATACTAGATGTACCCATTAAATACGCATTACTGTTAGAGTAAGAGACTGTAAGAGATTGTGAGTCGCTACTGTAAGGTGGCGTGACCAGAGCCATGTATTTAGAGAGTTGGGCCATTGACGTTTCTGCATTATGATGCATTTACATGACACTACAACATTCCATGGCAGCCGTGTTAGCTCCCCATTAACATTATATGGGGAATTGAATGTCTAGAATGAGCATTATAATGCATTTACATGGCACTTCAACATTCTATGTTAGCGCCTCATTAACATTACAAGGGGACTATTTAAATAATGCGATGTAACTGAATGTCTAGAATTAGAACAATATTCAAATTTCTAGAAGTAAAAGGCCCAACTGTCTAAATAAATGGCTCTGGGTGTGACCATATAAATATAATTACAAGAACCATCCCCAGTGGAGTAGAATTATTTCTATGAGGGTGTCTCCTTATAGTATTGACAGCTATAGCACGTCCGCTACCTTGCTCCGATTCATGATTCCATCCAGGAATCTTTTGGGTTGAGAGTTCCCTGACCACTCTGAGGACGTACCGATCCTCTGCTGTGTGGTTGTGGTCTGGCTGATCAGACTCTGCAGGCAGGGGGCCCTGTTTTGATCAAATGCAACTGCCCAAACAGTAGAACATCAGATTAGTATACAGTAGATTACGTTGATTGAGACTGTCAGAGTTTACTCACAGAGCCGTTTACATGTTTATGAATTCTGTCTGGAGGGTTAACATCGACAGCAGCACTATCATGATGATGATTGTGAAGGTGGTGGTGATGGAGAGATATGCTCACCTTCCTGCATGACCACGATGAAGGATTCTGGGGTTCTCTCAGGTAGAGGGGGAGTCAGACTCTCTGAGCATTCACAAGAAAGCAAACAAGTCAGTGAGGACCCCTCATTATAGAAAAAGTTACATTGAAAGCATAAAATGGGTGTCACTTTTGCTTACCTGGAGGTGAGAGAGGAGGGGGCAGAGGGTAGGGAGGGGGAGGAGGAAGGTTTATAGATGTACAGGGAGCAGGGACCGAAGATGTAACTATGGGTGGCACTGTAACCTGGGGTGGCACTGTAACCGGGGGTGATACTATAACCAGGGGTGATACTGTAATGGGAAAAGGCCAGAGACATGGATTAAAATCACATGGCGTTGTGTGACTATCCCAGTAATCGTTTAAAAAAATGAACAATCAATAAAACAATACCTCTTTATCATTCTGAGAAAAAAACAATCTTTGACAAAGTACCTGAGAGTGTTGTCATTTTAACCTTTAAGCTCCTGCTCCTTGTCCAAGATCTCTTCTCCACCAGAGCTGGTGTGTCCCCTAAACGGCCACACCATTCCGAGGATGTTCCGATCCTGCTGTCCTCTGGCCGGGCCTGGACCACCTTCTCCACAGAGACTGAGAGGGGAGGGAAGACAGTAGTGCTCCTACCGGCATCGCTGGCCAACACAAACGACTCTGGCGTTCTCTCTGGCAGTGGGGGGATAGGCAACGGGGGACTCCCTATGGGGGAAAATGAGGTGCATGTTTGAGTGCTTATCAAAAAAATAAGAGCTTATAAAGAGTGTTATGAGTGCCTTCACAGGCCCTCCACTCACCATTCCTCCCCCTGATGGCTTCAGCTGCAGCATTAGAAGGGAGGATGACCTCTAACATTTTAGGTTTAGAGATGTTATCAGAGCGCTCTGAAGGGCACAGAAATATATTTTTTAGCCCTCCAAGTAATGAATTACAATTGCTTAATCCCACTTTTTAAACAGTAAGCATATCAAAATTCACCTGCACCAGCAGCCAGTACATATGATTCAGCAGTTCTCTCAGGTAATGGAGGTGGACTGTCTTCATCTGAGGAAACTGCACCTGGGGCAGCGTTGGTGGTGGTGCGGGCTGGCAGCTCCATCGGCTGGCTGTTAAGGGTCAGACCGGGTCCGTTGAAACAGGGGTTCTCGGTCCACTGGCTCAGTGGAGCCTGCTCCTCCTCATCATCAGACCCTCTGGGAGCCTCAGCAGCCAGGGGTGAGTTAGACCCAAAGTAGGGGTCCTCCATGGTGAGACAGAGGGGGTTGGAGAAGGAGACCGCAGGAAGCACTGGTATTACCAGTGGGGTCATCTCTCCATCACTCTCCACCTTCTCTTGCTCCATGGCTATCTGAGAGAAGTCCTGAGTCCTGAGTGCCTGGGGGGTTATGATGGGGATACTGGGGCTGGGCTCTTGTCTCAGGTCCTGGCTGGTGGGCAGGTTAGCAGGCTGTGTGTGTAGGAAATGTGGTCGCTGTGTCGGTAGCGGGTGTGGTGGTCTCTGATTGATGACCATGTTATTGGGCTGTTTCTTGCTGGGTTGTGGTTTCTGGTTCAGAGTCTGTGTTGGTAGGGAGTATGGTCCCTGCTGTTCCCTCTGCCTGTCCCTGGCTCTCAGAGCATTAAGGATGGCTGAGGGGGAGCACTTAGACACGTCACACAGTGGGTCAACATGCACCTCTGAGGCAGAGAAGGCCACTGGTACGGCGTGATTGGATATCCCATCAGGCTCCTCCCTCTCTGGGTGCCTAACAGAATAGGAGTTATCCAGACATTCTATTGAAGTGAGGCCACTGGAGGCATTTTTCTCTCTGTGTGAAAACACTAATTAGTTATTGTGATATACACTATATATACAAAAGTATGTGGACAGCCCTTTCAAATTAGTGGATTCGGCTATTTCAGCCACACCTGTTGCTGACAGGTGTATAAAATCGAGCACACAACCACGCAATCTCCATAGACGAACACTGGCAGTAGAATGGCCTTACTGAAGAGCTCAGTGACTTTCAATGTGGCACCGTTATAGGATGCCACCTTTCCAACAAGTAAGTTCGTCAAATTTCTGCCCCGCTAGAGCTGCCCCGGTCAACTGTAAGTGCTGTTATTGTGAAGTGGAAACATCTAAGAGCAACAACGGCTCAGGCGTGAAATGTTAGGCTACACAAGCTCACAGAATGGGACCGGCGAGTGCTGAAGCGCGTAGCGCATAAAAATAGTCTGTCCTTGGTTGCAACATTCACTACCGAGTTCCAAACTGCCTCTAGAAGCAACGTCAGCAAAATAACTGTTCGTCGGGAGCTTCATGAAAGTAATGTAATGCTCGCCACCATTGGACTCTGGAGCAGTGGAAACTGGAGTTCTCTAGAGTGATGAATCAGTGCTGCCATCTGGCAGTCCGACAGACGAATCTGAGTTTGGCGGATGCCAAGAGAACACTACCTGCCCCAATGCATAGTGCCAACTGTAAAGTTTGGTGGAGGAAGAATAATGATCTGGGGCAGTTTTTCATGGTTTGAGCTAAGCCCCTTAGTTCCAGTGAAGGGAAATCTTAACCCTACAGCATACAATGACATTCTATACGATTCTGTGCTTCCAACTTTGTGGCAACAGTTTGGGGAAGGCCCTTTCCTGTTTCAGCATGACAATGCCCCCATGCACAAAGCGAGGTCCATACAGAAATGGTGTGTCAAGATCGGTGTGGAAGAACTTGACTGGCCTGCACAGACGCCCTGACCTCAACCCCATCGAACACCTTTGGGATGAATTGGAACGCTGACTGCAAACCAGGCCTAATCGCCCAACATCAGTCCCTGACCTCACTAATGCTCTTGTGGCTGAATGGAAGCAAGTCCCCGCAGCAATGTTCCAACATCTAGTGGAAAGCCTTCCCAGAAGAGTGGAGGCTGTTATAGCAGCAATGGGGGGACCAACTCCATGTTAATGCACATGATTTTGGAATTATATGTTTGTCGAGCAGGTGTCCACATACCTTTGGTCATGTAGTTTATTTTGCTATAGAGATATGCTTCAAGGTTTACAGTAATGCACCGTGAAAAAAACGTTAGTTGTCAGATCAATGGTTGATGGGTTAAAGTATTTACTGTGCTGTACCTGTGCTCTGTCTGTGGTTCCATTTTAGGCTGAGGCTCAGGTTCTGGTTCCTGTTCAGCTTCAGACGCCTCACTGAGGTCAGAGAGCTCACTGTCACTGGCTGTAGGTGGTGAGGGGGCCGCTGACACCTAAAGAGTTCAACAGAATCACACGCTTAATCGCTCACCCTCTGAGAAAGTATTTACATACGACACAGATCGCTGGTCTTAGTCTGTGTCTGTTTTGCTCTGTTCCTCGTCCGGTGGTTTAATTTTGCTACCACGTGACCAAACAGCCAGCCTGGTTCCCCTAGCCAGAGTCTTTGTGCGTGTTTGAGATAGACTACATAACAGTCGAACTACACAGAATCACGGATCTACAAATCACCTTGCATCCCAAATAACTACTCATTAAGTGAACAAAATCAGTGATTCTGTGCCTCGCCTTGCTCAAACTGATCCCCTCAAACACGCTGTCTGTTTCACCTCCTCTGTACAGCAAGGGGGGACTGGTGCCATGGACTGCAGGTACTTCTCAAACAGGAACTTGATGGTTCTGTACAGTAGCTCGTACTGTTCCTGTAGTTAAACACAAAACCAGTTCTGTTAGTGTTCAGTCGATCCCATATCAGTTGCCACGGCAAGATATGTTTGTGAAGCATTCTACCCAAATAGATAAGAGATTGCACATGGATTGCACATGGGGAGTTGCTACAAACATTAGTGAGTGCAAAAAATATGTGGCTCTACTTGTTACAGATGAAGGCTATGAGTGGGTTGGCATCAGATAATGTTGAGCTACAGCCTTGTGATAATAATGTCTCAGATGGAGGCATGTCACATTGTGTGTATGTACTGAATGTGGTTATGATAAAATTGCACTATGAAGTGAAAACACACCCTTGGTCAAAAAGAAGCATGTCACAACGGGTCTATTTATGAATGTGGTTATGCTTAAAAAGCACTGCAGAATACGAAGCGAGAACGCTACCTTGGTCTGAACAACAGAAGGCCTCTGTGTTCTCATGTCCTTAACCAGGTCATAGATGCTGAAGTCTTCTGTGAGCAGCTGGAAATTAACACGAAGGCATCGATGACGATTAGTAAAGTGACACATACAGTTATAGATACGGTAACTTTCAGTACAGCACGACATAGATACAGTAGTCTTTGGTAATCTGCTCACACTCTGGTTCGGAGGAGATGGTACTGTACAGGGTAGGGCAGGTACAGTTATCTTACCTGTGTTTTCACCAGGTTCCAGGTATAGTCGATGGCACACAGTGCTCCTGTTCTTCCACAGCCAGCACTGCAGGGACAAACAGGAAGAACACAAGGTTAACATAAAATAAGGTACATTAACTAAGAACCACAGACAAGTACAATATATATATTCATTTTTGACTGTACAAACTCTTTTCACCTAGCATGATGAAAAGCCTTGCTGAGCTAATAATATAGTAATAGCCCTTTAGCACCCCAACCTGCAAACAGCAGTGAATGTCAGTGTAAGTGAGTGTACACAGTGTGAGCATTCACTGCACTGCAGGCTGCTATTAACACCCTGGCTGGCTACACTGTCAGCCCTGATCTGGCACATGCATTCTGCTGCCTGTCCCTGCTGGCCTGGTCCTTCCTGCTCCTGGCCCACACAGCCTAACTGCCAGATATACTGTCAGACTTTACTCAACAACTCAGATAGGTGATATGAGAGCAGCCCTGTCTCCCATGGAGAGTGAACTGTTCCAAGGGAAACATGTGTAAGCAGATCTGTCATTTCATATGGTAATACTTTCCTATCCTCAACCCTGCCTGTGGGTTAACTGAGTAGAGAGGAGAGCATGGGTCTATGGCATGGGCATGCCTGATGCCTGTGACTGAACATTCCGTTCCTGGTGGCTCATCTATCTGTGATGCCTCCTGTATACCACGCCTGGATGTCAGCCTGGTACACGGACACTACTATTAACTGACTACTGAAGTGTAATGCCATCTGACTGGGGTAAGTTATCTCTCGCAATTGGGCCTAAAATGGGGTGCTAAAGAGTGTCTATCATAGTCTTATTATAGAGAGCAGGGAGAGGGAATGATGTGTATTATGGCAAAGTCCTGATGTTTTTGAGGATGTGTCTGTTGAGTTTTCTTTCTGGAGTGTCGCGCAACACCTGACTCAAGCCTATGACAAACACGTTGAGCAACTTTCAAAGAGGAGGCCTCTTGCCACCGATGGAATTTCCGTGTGTCACTGTGGTCATAGTTTGGAAACAAGTACTGTTCTTTCTCTCGTGTCCTACTGATGAAAGACAGTCAACTGAGTTATTAAAGGAGGACAGGGTTGAAAAACACAACCCTTTGTACAATCATCAGTACTAGGCCCTCAGATAACCAAAGGTCTTACAATAGGTTACCTTTTCACTCTGCGTGGCTTAGCATGCAGCGCTAAGTAATTTACATTTGAGTTAATGTGTTAGCTGTAACCATGGCCAGAGAGAAGGGGAAAATGTATGAGTGTTTGTTTGCACACCCAAAGTGGCCTGTTGGCCATCCGCCCACAAACTTCCTGTCTGTGTGTCTAACAGAAGAGGGAGGTGCCTGAGCAGAAAGGGGTCTACAACAGGATGCCCTCAACAATGTGTTCCACCCACGGAACAATTACTATTTCATGAAATAGGACACCACAGCATAATGGATAGAGATATATGACTGCCTAGCATTAAAGCGCAAAGGGAACCTAACTTTCCGTGCTTTGAGATGGTTTATTGACTCTCCATATCAGACAATGATTCATACTTTAGGGTAACTGTGTACTGTGTGTATGGTGTGATTCAGTACTGATTCAATGTTGTGTGTGTGTGTGTGTGTGAGTGAGTGACGTGTGAGTGAGGTGGGGGTTTGCATTGTTGGTTAAGGTAAATAAGCATTTCACGGTATTCGGCGCATGTGACAAAAAACATTTGATTTGATTTGAGAGCTGACCTGCAGTGGATGCAGATGGGTATATCCTCATGGGCCTGGTAAGATCTCATCTCCTGCAGCAGCTCCAGGATGGGAGGGATGGTGTCTGGGACCCCGTGGTCCGGCCAGTTGATATAGTGCAGCTGTCTCAGGTTACGGCTCCACTAAGGGACACACCACATAGTTCAATGTTAACACAGACAGAGGGACATACCAGGAGACCTGTGTACTCACACGGGCTTCCTGTTTACCCCTACCTCATGAGATGTTAGTTTTGAGTTGATTTATTACTGACATGCTCGGCACCAAAGTATACTACAATACCACCCACAAAATATTCCATCACAACTTTGCGTTTTTAAGCATTTATGTCCGCAGATTCTATCCATGATAGTTTCTAATTATAGCTGCATCTCAGTTTATAATAAGGGTATAAACAGTACTTACATTGCGGTAGGTCACCCTCAGGTTCCTGCTCACATAGTCTCCTTTACTCTCCTCCGAGTCCTGTACACAAATACACACAGAGTTGGCAGTTTAGCATTATTTTCACACAGAAAACCTGCAGACGCTAGTCTTTTTAAAGTGGGAATGACATTAGTACACTACATTTACTTGACACAAGTGATTATCAATGTTTAGGTATATTTCAGGCATATTTGTGGAGAACTCCAGAAATTAGAATCCCCAAAATACTAAGCACATCAATATACTTTTTTATGTGCCTGTATCTGGGTTTTCAACGGTTGCATTCATCTACTATTCATGACTACTGATCACTATAGTGTAGATAACGTAGTTACGGTTAAGAGGCCATTTGACCAACCAAATCAGGAAGTGGTCAGAGAGCGAGAGAGAGAGAGGAAGTAGCCTACTACTCACGCAGTAAATAGTAAATGGGTCACACACAAAAGGCTCCTCTTGTTTCTTTGGCCAGTAGCGCTCACACTTTTTCTACAAAAGAGTAGTACAAACAATCTGTCTTCAATGCGCATAAAGCCACAACACTGACCATTTTAATAACACAGTATACGACTATGAAATGCAGTGTAATAATAGAGTATAGTATAGTGTACATGTGCATAGAGTAACTTACCCTGCCCATCTCAAACTCCCTGCAAACCATCACTATGACCTGATAGAAGACAAGATCACCATCAGTGCATCAGTACACCAACCTCACCAGAGAGAGAGGGACGGGGGAGAGAGATAGATAGTGAGAGAGAGAGAGACACAGAGACAGACAGACAGACAGAGTTGTACCTCTATGTTGTACTCCCAGAGCATCCTCCAGAAGTCCAGCACGGTGTGGGGAAGAGGGCCCTGAGTGGCAATGTAGGCCATGGCCCCTGACACTCCCTGGGGGTACGCAGAGCACAGGGTCACACACCTGTCCACCTGGGACTCTCCTGCACATACTCTTCTACTGTGTAGTCTAGTATACCAAGACCATGTCGCATCACCCTACCTTGATGAAGCTGGCATTGATGTAGTCGTTATCATTCTTGGAGGTGGTAAGGGACAGCTTCACTCTGCTGTGGTCAACTGAGGGGAAATGAGGACAGTATTGTAGTGAGATGTAGTAGTGAAAAGTTATAGTGAGTACTGCATAAATACACCACTTCAAACCACTGTAGACTATAACAGTAAAAGCTGACTTACAGGGAACAATGTCCTTGTATCTGTTCTTCTTCACGTTCTCCTGCTTATCCGCTACCTTTGTGGGGTACGTTTTGTCAGTGCGGTACTTGGTGGACTGGCGTTTGAGCCTCTGCAACAGAGAGAAGTGAGGCAAAAATTAGAAAACACGATACATATGTTTGCATGTGAAGGAGGGAAGGGGTTATATCAGTCTGGCTAACACTCAGACCTGTGTGGCTAAATGTGAGGTTGTCTAATTATCTTGTTCCTCTGGGGAACTCGAAGTTAGTAGCCAAAAAGACAATGAGATTGCAGTTGTCACAGTTCCCATGTCTGAGTCTAGTAACTGCTCACCATAGTTTGTATTTCCAGTTCTCTTCAGTGTTAATTAAGAGGAGAGACCGTTGAGCTGCAATAAGTTGTCACTCCTCCCCAGAGCTAGATTCAGTGTTATATTCACGCCCTGTACACTCTGTGGGTAACACTGTGACACCACTGCTACTGCCAAAGCTTTATGTCAGCTCTGGCGTGGCTCAAACTTACAGACATTAGCTTATTGGAAACAGCCATAGCCACAGACTAAGAGAGGACTTCCACTCATCAGTGACTCCATTCCGATTAGTAGTGAATGAGTGACACTCCAAATAAAGCCCCAGAGTGTCCCTTCCTGGTCCTCCCTATTTCAAACACACTGGTCTTTTTGTCCAGGCCCAGTTCTCACAGACAGCCCTAACACAAGGCTGATGGGAGCAGACATCTGCACCCTCCAGACCACAGAGCGCTTTTTGTTCCACAAGGAAGTGCTGTGAGCTCTGTTCCCCCAATTGGTCAGGATGGCAGGGGCATGACACAAGCAGGGCGGCATGCGGAGAGAGAGGAGAGGAGAGTAGGCCCAACGCCCTCAGTCACAGAGGTGTCACTCCTCACCATGGCAATGGTCCACAGGTGATGCCATCCATGGGAACAGGACCATGGGGTGGCCCGAGGCAGAGTTGGTCACACTTTATTTGGATAGTCTGGATTTTACATCTGTAGATGCTCTACAGATGGTCATACTATCAACAAACTATCTGTTGATAAGATTACAGTTAGGTTTAGAATAAGGGTTAGGGTAAGGGTTAGGGTTAGAGCTAGGGTTAGGGTTAGTAGATAGTTAGTTGAAATGTTATATTTAGTCTGTAGAGCATCTACAGATGGACTATTCAAATAAAGTGTTACCGCAGAGTTTTAGTTGAAGTGCACTGGTGATTGATGTCATCATGTATATGCTGCCTCACTTGGCCCCACTAACAGGCTTCTGTCATATCCATTTGCAATTGTAGCGCAATTGTCAGTCAGTGTGTGTGTGTGTGTTTCTGTCTCTGTGCGTGTGTATGTGTATTTGTGTGCGTGTTTAAGTGTGTGCGTGTGTGTGTGTGTGCAGGGTTGGTGGTGGTGGGGGCTCGTTCTACATCAATAACATTGCATTTGTCTGTAGATCTCCTTCCTTGTATGGGGGCCTTCAGAAACAGGCAGCAGTGCAATAAGAGGAAGCTAATCAGCAGTAGTCGGGGACTGATTGACAACCCATACAGAAACAGCACAACATAATAGCATGTCTCTCTGAGTGTGACGTTCTTTTGTACTATTCTTCTTAGGACATCGGCAGAGTTCTGTTCATAAAAACAAATACACTTACATACAGTACACTCTAAGCTTAGACAAACTGTAAACATTCAGCATCACAGCAGAGTTAAAGACCGCACCACTCCAACGCTAGCAGAGTTAATCCACTTGTTGATAATGTGAGATAGCTCGGAGCCCGTCCTGTGTCTGAGAGAGGAGCCCCACTGTAACAGAGTGATCAAACAAAGAGATGAACTCACCGAGAACTCCCCGGCGAAGCCACTCTCCGCCTCCACCACCTCAGCCTCCTTGCTCTCCACTTGAGCTAGGAAGCCCCTCAGTATCCAGGCTTGTTGCTCCATGACTGGCCTGCTGGGGCTTGGCATGTGCTGCTGCTGCTGCCTGGCATGTCAGGACACACAGGGCCACGGAGGGGGGGCCCACCGTCTGGGGCCTGGGGGGGTGTCTGCTCCAAGCAGCCTGGTGTACTACCCTACAGCAGCTAGTATCACACTGAGGATGAGGAACTATGCTAAGTCACAAGGCACTTCTGTCAGAGCTGTCTTCAGTTCGAGGAAGCAGCAGCAAATTAACAGGCTCTGTGGTCAGATAAAAAATATTGCCACGCCCCCTAGTCTCTCTCTCACTGGGTCCTAGAGCCAGCCCTGCTCGGGAAGCACCTCAGCAGGGTGTGTGTGAAGGAGAGAGAAATAGAGAGAGAGAAAGGAAGATAGATGTAGATGTACTGATACATGTACGCAGAGACACACACACATGCTTGAACAGCTGTTTCAGCCCAGCCCTAGAGTGTGCCGGAGGCGGTCCAGCCTGTTGAACCACATTCAGAACATGCAGTTAAGAGGAGAGAGGGAGGGAGGGAGGGGCAGGGCGAGATGGAGGTGGGCTCAGATCCTGTATGACGGGTAACTCCCTCCCTCTGTCTGGCATTCCCCTCCACAGTCTAGCTGGTCCACTGACCCTCAGGCACTAAGCACAGTGACAGCGCATCACCATTTAGGATTCATAACTCCTGAAAGAGCACTCAATCCATGTTAATCCCATACAAGACCATTGCGCTATCTGGCAGAATTGTAGAGATGATATTCTGCTAGGATAAGGCAGTCTAAACAGTCCCTATATATACAGTGAGGGAAAAAAGTATTTGATCCCCTGCTGATTTTGTACGTTTATAATTTTATCAGTCTATAATTTTAATGGTAGGTTTATTTGAACAGTGAGAGACAGAATAACAACAAAAAATCCAGAAAAATGTATGTCAAAAATGTTATAAATTGATTTGCATTTTAATGAGGGAAATAAGTATTTGACCCCTCTGCAAAACATGACTTAGTACTTGGTGGCAAAACCCTTGTTGGCAATCACAGAGGTCAGACGTTTCTTGTAGTTGGCCACCAGGTTTTCACACATCTCAGGAGGGATTTTGTCCCACTCCTCTTTTCAGATCTTCTCCAAGTCATTAAGGTTTCGAGCCTGACGTTTGGCAACTCGAACCTTCAGCTCCCTCCACAGATTTTCTATGGGATTAAGGTCTGGAGACTGTCTAGGCTACTCCTGGAACTTAATGTGCTTCTTCTTGAGTCACTCCTTTGTTGCCTTGGCCGTGTGTTTTGGGTCATTGTCATGCTGGAATACCCATCCACGACCCATTTTCAATGCCCTGGCTGAGGGAAGGATGTTCTCACCCAAGATTTGACGGTACATGGCCCCGTCCATCATCCCTTTGATGCGGTGAAGTTGTCCTGTCCCCTTAGCAGAAAAACACCCCCAAAGCATAATGTTTCCACCTCCATGTTTGAAGCTGGGGATGGTGTTCTTGGGGTCATAGGCAGCATTCCTCCTCCTCCAAACAAGGCGAGTTGAGTTGATGCCAAAGAGCTCGATTTTGGTCTCATCTGACCACAACACTTTCACCCAGTTCTCCTCTGAATCATTCAGATGTTCATTGGCAAACTTCAGACGGGCCTGTATATGTGCTTTCTTGAGCAGGGGGACCTTGCGGGCGCTGTAGGATTTCAGTCCTTCACGGCGTAATGTGTTACCAATTGTTTCCTTGGTGACTATGGTCCCAGCTGCCTTGAGATCATTGACAAGATCCTCCCGTGTAGTTCTGGGCTGATTCCTCACCGTTCTCATGATCATTGCAACTCCACGAGGTGAGATCTTGCATGGAGCCCCAGGCAGAGGGAGATTGACAGTTCTTTTTTGTTTCTTCCATTTACGAATAATCGCACCAACTGCTGTCACCTTCTCACCAAGCTGCTTGGCGATGGTCTTGTAGCCCATTCCAGCCTTGTGTAGGTCTACAATCTTGTCCCTGACATCCTTGGAGAGCTCTTTGGTCTTGGCCATGGTGGAGAGTTTGGAATCTGATTGATTGATTGCTTCTGTGGACAGGTGTCTTTTATACAGGTAACAAGCTGAGATTAGGAGCACTCCCTTTAAGAGTGTGCTCCTAATCTCAGCTCGTTACCTGTATAAAAGACACCTGGGAGCCAGAAATCTTTCTGATTGAGAGGGGGTCAAATAATTATTTCCCTCATTAAAATGAAAATCAATGTATAACATTTTTGACATGCGTTTTTCTGGATTTTTTTGTTGTTATTGTGTATCTCAGTGTTCAAATAAACCTACCATTAAAATTATAGACTGATCATTTCTTTGTCAGTGGCCAAACGTACAAAATCAGCAGGGGATCAAATACTTTTTTCCCTCACTGTATATATATATATACAGTGGGGGAGAAAAGTATTTAGTCAGCCACCAATTGTGCAAGTTCTCCCACTTAAAAAGATGAGAGAGGCCTGTAATTTTCATCATAGGTACACGTCAACTATGACAGACAAAATGAGATTTTTTTCTCTCCAGAAAATCACATTTGTAGGATTTTTTATGAATTTATTTGCAAATTAAGGTGGAAAATAAGTATTTGGTCAATAACAAAAGTTTCTCAATACTTTGTTATATACCCTTTGTTGGCAATGATACAGGTCAAACATTTTCTGTAAGTCTTCACAAGGTTTTCACACACTGTTGCTGGTATTTTGGCCCATTCCTCCATGCAGATCTCCTCTAGAGCAGTGATGTTTTGGGGCTGTCGCTGGGCAACACAGACTTTCAACTCCCTCCAAAGATTTTCTATGGGGTTGAGACCTGGAGACTGGCTAGGCCACTCCAGGACCTTGAAATGCTTCTTACGAAGCCACTCCTTCGTTGCCCGGGCGGTGTGTTTGGAATCATTGTCATGCTGAAAGACCCAGCCACGTTTCATCTTCAATGCCCTTGCTGATGGAAGGAGGTTTTCACTCAAAATCTCACGATACATGGCCCCATTCACAGCCCAAAAGCATGATGTTTCCACCCCCATGCTTCACAGTAGGTATGGTGTTCTTTGGATGCAACTCAGCATTCTTTGTCCTCCAAACACGACGAGTCGAGTTTTTACCAAAACGTTATATTTTGGTTTCATCTCCCAATCCTCTTCTGGATCATCCAAATGCACTCTAGCAAACTTCAGACGGGCCTGGACATGTACTGGCTTAAGCAGGGGGACACGTCTGGCACTGCAGGATTTGAGTCCCTGGCGGCGTAGTGTGTTACTGATGGTAGGCTTTGTTACTTTGGTCCCAGCTCTCTGCAGGTCATTCACTAGTTCCCCCCGTGTGGTTCTGGGATTTTTGCTCACCGTTCTTGTGATCATTTTGACCCCACGGGGTGAGATCTTGCGTGGAGCCCCAGATCGAGGGAGATTATCAGTGGTCTTGTATGTCTTCCATTTCCTAATAATTGCTCCCACAGTTGTTTTCTTCAAACCAAGCTGCTTACCTATTGCAGATTCAGTCTTCCCAGCCTGGTGCAGGTCTACAATTTTGTTTCTGGTGTCCTTTGACAGCTCTTTGGTCTTGGCCATAGTGGAGTTTGGAGTGTGACTGTTTGAGGTTGTGGACAGGTGTCTTTTATACTGATAACAAGTTCAAACAGGTGCCATTAATACAGGTAACGAGTGGAGGACAGAGGAGCCTCTTAAAGAAGAAGTTACAGGTCTGTGAGAGCCAGAAATCTTGCTTGTTTGTAGGTGACCAAATACTTATTTTCCACCATAATTTGCAAATAAATTCATTAAAAATCCTACAATGTGATTTTCTGGATTTTTTTTTCTCAATTTGTCTGTCATAGTTGACGTGTACCTATGATGAAAATTACAGGCCTCCCTCATCTTTTTAAGTGGGAGAACTTGCACAATTGGTGGCTGACTAAATACTTTTTCCCCCACTGTATATATATATATAGATAGATAGATAGAGAGCTGGCATCAAAGTTCCAGTACCAGTTGTATTCATACTGGCAGTACCATGTCTTCTAATAAAAAGACCTTAGTACAATTACTTACTTGGTACATTCCCTTTCTCTCCTCTGAGGTAGCTTGTGGTAACAATTGTTAAACCAACTGCATCTTGCCTATTCTATTTTGTGGCTGGGATGGAGTAAATGGAATGGTATTAAACTCATGGAAACCATGTGTTTGGTGTTTTTGATACCATTGCATATATTCCGTTCCAGCAATTACAATGAGCCCGTCCTCCCCAATTAAGGTACCACCTGCCGCCTGTGATCTCTATGTGTGTTGCCATCAGATGGAGAGACAACTGACAGAAGAAGCTTAACTGCACAGCTGACACAGGTCATGTCTACTGTCATGATTACACTACGGTATACACTAAGTATACCAAACATTAGGAACCCCCTCCCCCAGAGCCCGGACTTGAACCTGATCGAACATCTCTGGAGAGTGTCGTGGAAAATTATCACTATACTTATTAAAAATCAAAGTTCTTCCAGAGTTTTTGTAGAATTAAGATAGACTTTATTACATACGCAATAGAGCCGAGGTGGTTTGCAAAACATCTGCCTTCCCAACACTCAGCCCTCAGTTTATATACAATTTCCATTCCTGCTCGTTTTACATACTCTTTAGCTTAAACCCTCCCAGTTCAGTTTCTCCACTATTGTTTCCAAGCCTTCATCTTTTGACCGCTCCGCCCCCTCTCTTTATTTATGATAGTGCCGAAATCTGACCCTATTCAGTCTCCTCCTCCTGTTTATCTAGTTTGGAAACAATAGTGGCAGAACCATGCTTTCTCATGTAAAAAACAACAGAGCTTTCTCCTGGCTCTGCTCTGTTTATTCCAAAACATATAAATCGATATTTAAATATGGTTTAAACATGGCAGGTCCATAACCCATTCTCAACCATATACATTTAAGACATTCCTAATGCATTGCCTCACGCATAACAGTATAATCAATCAAGAGCCATGTCCTGACTCTGGCTCAGACTCCCTCCTTGTGTACCACTCAGTACCACACG